GTTCTCCCCCACGACATAAACAAGTTGCCGTTTTTGAGTCAATATCAGTCATTCACCAACCACTCCAGCAAATAAAAAAGCTCCTCTGTGTACGCTCTCTGTCAAATAAATAAATAAAATCTTTAAAAAAAAAAAATTTAAAAATGGGTCTCGGGGGCCTTGGGTGGCTCAGTTGGTTAAGCGACTGCCTTCAGCTCAGGTCATGATCCTGGAGTCCCGGGATCGAGTCTCACATCAGGCTCCCTGCTCAGCAGGGAGTCTGCTTCTCCACCTGACCCTCCCCCCTCTCATGTGCTCTCTCTCTCTCTCATTCTCTCTCTCAAATAAATAAATACAATCTTTAAAAAAGAAAATAAATAATAAAAAAAGAAAGAAAGAGGGAAAGCGAGAGAGAGAGAGAGAAAAGAAAAGAAAACAGAAAAGAAAAAGAAAAAACGTGTCTCTCCTTTCCATGAACCTCATCTCGAGTTGTTTCAATTGCTCAGGACAAAATCTTTGGTGCCATCCCAGATTCTGTTCTTTCTCCCATATCCCACAGAGTGCTGCCAATCTATCCTTAAAACTACCTATCTCAAATTGAACCTTTTCTCCCCATCTCCTCCGTGAACCCCCTCATTGAATCCACCATGGATTCCTCCTCCCTGGACTGCTACAGTAGCTTCCTAACAGATCTGTTGGTCTCTCTGCTCTCCTTCTTGCTGTCCTACCGTCCCCATGCAACATCTAAAGTAATCTTTTAAATCACAGGTCAGATGATGTTACATAACGTTTAAAATAAAATCCAGATTTTTCCCCATGGCCGTGAAGACCCTGCATGAACTGACTACCACTTTCCTCAGTCGGTAGAATGTGTGACTTTTGATCTTGGTGTTGTGAGTTCGAGCCCCAGGTTGGGTGTGGAGATTACTTAAAAATAAAATCTTAAAAAAGGGTAATAGAGTGACCATAAAACTATAAAACCAATAATATCTGAATTAACAACATTAATTTAATGTGATTAGTAGTTGGCTGGAGCCAAATTGTAGCTCGCGACATGAACAGCAAACATGTTTGCTTTAGGAATGTTCTTTTGTGTTTGGTTTACCTGTGTTCTTTGCCGACTTAATTTTTCTACAACTAGACATTTCTAATCTGGAGGAAATCACTTTCTTTCCATTTAAGCCCCTTTTGCTTGACTTTCCCACACACTGACAGCCAGACTCAGTAGAGACAGTTTCTCTGCTTAGCAAAGGGCTGAGGGGATCTTGGGAATTACTCCGTCTATATACCCTTAGTGAAGGAAACTGAGGCCCAGGGTGAGTGTGACCAGAACTTTTGTCTCCAGCACTGGTATTTCGTTCTCACTGCGTGACTTTGTCTTCCTCCTCTAGCTTCTAAACTAGCTTCATTGGAAAGGCTGCAGATTTTTCTTTCAGAACCTGCATTTGTACATAAACCAGGCTAAAAATCTAAAACAGAATATGCGGGCAGTTCTCCCCCACGACATAAACAAGTTGCCGTTTTTGAGTCAATATCAGTCATTCACCAACCACTCCAGCAAATAAAAAAGCTCCTCTGTGTACGCCATGTTTTCACATTTGTCACCTTTAAAGGGACACAGCGTGAGCCCATGGGCAACAGCCTGTGCCACATCGTACCTCCATAGCCTTCCCGACACGCCAGCATGACCCAGCCCACGGCTGCCGCCCACAGGGTCCGGTGGAGAGCCTGGTACAGAGCAGCGGCAGGAGAAGAGGTGGCAGAGCTGTCATCCACCACGTATGCCAGGGCGACCACTATGAACAGGGTAGACAGGGAGCAAATCCACCCCAGCATGGCCTGCACCTATGGAGAAAGGAGAGACGTGGGTCAAGCCCATTGTGGACCTGGCATATTTACTTCCTTTTGCACTAATTCAGTTTTTCTCTTATTAGTGTCACTTCGGGTATCTATTTGTAGACCTCCATCAGTGCCCAACTTTGACTAAAAGAGAAGGTTCAGACTAGTGGTTATGAGGGGCTAGGGTTGGGGTGGAGTAGGGGAGAGTGGGCGGCGTGACCGTAAAGAGTCAGCCCAAGGGAGATCATTGTGGTGACAGCAGAGTCGTGTACCTTGCTTGTGGTAGTGGTTACACCACTCTCCACGTGCTAAAATTGCACAAAACTATATACACACACAACTGAGTGCACATAAAACTGGTGGCTCCAAGACCTATGGATTATTCCAATGTCAATTTCTTGGTCGCATGTTACCAGTGAAAGAACCTGGGTCAAGGGTACACAAGACCTTCTGTACTATTTTTGCAACCTGCTGTGAATCTCAAATAACTATTAAATGAAAGTTAGAAGGGAAAAAAGAAAAGATAATGTTCTAACCCACTCCTGACCTCCCATTCTGTTCCTTAACCTAATAAGGCTCCTGGATTGGTTCTGTGCACAACGCAAGGGCTTTTGGCACAGGTCTGTACCTGGGCTGCACCCTAGTCATTGGGGTCATAAAATGGCAGCAGAAATGGGAGAATGGAGAACTTTCCAGCTCAGAGAAGAGCCCCATGGGTTAAATTCTATTATTGGGTTCAGTTCAAGATCTTAGATCTTATGTCACCTCACTTGACCTTTTTAGACCCACACCTGTCTTCCAAGAATCTCTCTTGCTTCTCTGTTCCAGTTCCCAAGTTGCTATGATGACTGAACTAGCATCTTATCAGTCTACTGTCTAGTCTCTAAAGAGAAGCTCTCCCCTCCTTGGCCTCAGATTCCTGCGCTAGGCTCTGGCTACATGGGAGTAAAGGCATTTCCTTGGGGGGTCTCCACAAGCCCCCTCTTTCAGGCTAGGATCCCCTTCACTCTTTCACTGATAATGCACCCTACCTCATCTCATTCCTAGCATAGGGCATTGGCCCCAGCTGCCTCAAGCTTGGACTCTGTGTTCTTATTTTCTGGCTTCTAGAGGTTTAATTTTGGTCTACCCATCCCTTCTACCTTGTTTCTCCAGCTCAGCTTGACCTGTGTTCTGGCTCCATTCTCCCTGGTCCTGACTCAACCCCTGGAGTGTTCGCACATGCTCTGTCATCGTCTCAGGTTTACCCTCTGCTCCCTGGGCACCCTGGAACCTGGATGACACCAAAGCACCTCTTTAATGGCACTCTGCTGTAATCTACAACTGAATTGTGCATTTTTAGGGGAAACTCCAACCTACAGGAAAAGTCATGTAGCCTTGTACATCCATTCTGTCTAGTGAAGCCCTATCTCCTCCTGTTGCTACCGTGAGCAACACAAGATTTCCCAAAGACAAGAGCCTCTTCTCTGGAGCATCTAGGTGAGGTACCCACAAGACCTAGGCAAACAAAGGTAGGGTTTAGCAGAGAAGATTTGGGGCTATCACTGTACCCTAATAGTGCAAAGGAATTCTTGGCCCTTCGTCCATTGAAAAGCACATTATCTTTCATTCATTCATCTATTAAGTGCCTTCAGTGATTTCAGAACCAGATGTTGGGGATTCAGAGGTGAGTAAGACATAGTCTACCCTCAAGGTCTTATGGGTCAATGAAAGCCGTATGAAGAGCTTTTGCACAGTTCAAGGGCAACACCAACGTAGTATTTTAAATAGATTGCCCCAAGGGTGGATTTGAGATGGACAAGACAAGAAGTCCAGGCAAGAGATGAGAAGAGCTTCAGTGAGGTTAGTTGGACAGGCTAAGAGGACAGCCAAAGAAACAACAGGGGGGCTTGGTGAAGGATTGCCTGGGAGGAGGGGTCAATGAGGAGGACGTGTCAAAGATGAACACAGGCTTCCAGCTTGAGTAATGAGGTTGGATGGCGAACCAGAATGATTACCCACAAAGGAGCCAGGGAAGCAATTTTACCTGGAAGACAAAGTGACAGCTTCTTTCCCCTTAGACACCTTGTGTCTTGATGCCCAGATGGAGCCATTGAATCTGACCAAGAATCCTGTCTATAGAAACCAAGGAGCTTGTGCTATTAAAAAGTAACCATGCCCTTCCGGAAGAGTGCTTTGCCAGTGCAAAAACTCATTGGGTGTGTTTTTCACATATCAGTGAGTCCTCTGGGTTTGTACCAAGACTCCAATGGATCGAACACCACTGCGTTTCAGTTCTGGAGCTTTCTTAAAGGCATTCAGTGAGGAAAGCAGAGAATCAGGCTCTGGCAAGAAGATAAGGTCTCTCTTATTCTCTAGCACCAAGAAACATTGCTAACACACTACAGCCCAATAAAGTACTGAGCAGTCTGATCCCTGCCCATGGCTTTTGACGAGCCTAGCCAAATGGGCCACTCCAGTCCCAAGCAGACCCAGACCTTACAGTGAGGAATGGGGCAGGCTTACCTTGGTTTTAAGAATGTTTGCCTGGTGGTTTTGGTGCATGAAAATGCTCAGAAAGAGGCCCACGAGGAATGGCCCGTATCTGCAGTAGGGCTTAGTGTAATACTCCGAGAAATACAACACAGTCACATTTTCACTGAAAAACACAAGAACAGAAGGCAAAAGGGTCTGTTTGATTTGGACCTGAAAAAAGGAATCTCTCATGCGTCCATTGGTGCAATCAGCCAAGTCCAAAAGAAAATGTGGGGTACATTTGTTCATTTCCTCACTAATGATCCACAAACAGTAACGCCTTAGATCATAGCTGTCTTGCTAAAATTCCAAATTCCCTTGGGCCCCTCCACCCTGGATCCTGAGGAAATATGACGACCGTGTTCCTTTTAAATAGTTGTTTCTAGGGGCGCCTGGGTGGCTCAGTCGTTAGGCGTCTGCCTTCGGCTCAGGTCATGATCCCAGGGTCCTGGGATCAAGCCCCGCATCGGGCTCCCTGCTCCGCGGGAAGCCTGCTTCTCCCTCCCCCACTCCCCCTGCTTGTGTTCCTTCTCTGGCTGTGTCTCTCTCTGTCAAATAAATAAAAATCTTTAAAAAAAAATAAATAAAAAATAAATAGTTGTTTCTAGTAGCTGGTACATCAGGATAGCTCTAAAAATCTGGTTCTCAGGAGTGAACCTCGTCGAGGAAGCTCTTACAGAATTTGGTTGCTTGGGCCACGTCCCTGGAGATTGTGATTCAGGGGGTCTGAGATGGTGCTTGCTGGAAGCATCCTTGGATTTAAAAGCTCCCCAAGTGAGTCTCATGTGCTTCCAGAATTGAGAACTGCTGGGCTAGACGGGAATGCGCTTCTTCCTCAGTCACCTGGCAGTACCCACAGAAAACGAGGACATGATGGGAAGGGCATGGTGCTCCCCTGATCAAAAAACCTGAGGTGTCTTCATTCATTCGTGCATGCATTCATTCCTTCATTCCCCTCACAAATACATAGTGAGCACTGTGCCAGACATGGCTCAGGGTTATTTTACATCGGGAGGTCAGCGAAGGCCGCTCTGAGAAATGACATTTGCACTGACACCTGTAGAAAAGCCCTGCCAAGATCTGGATTCTAAAGGAAAAGCATTCTAGTGTGAGGGAACAGCAAGTGCAAAGGCCTGAGGAGGGAGCATGCCGGGTGCGTGGAGGTAAGAAGGCCAGTGTGGCTGGTCCAGAGCCAGCACAGAGGCGAGTGATTGATGAAGTCAGACAGGGATTTTACTCTGAGAGCACTGGGCAGCCACGCGAGGAACTTGAGAAGGTGACTGACAGGATCTGATTGCCATTTGTATCACTCTGCCTGCTGCACTGGGAGGGGATTAGCAGGAAATCGAACCACTTCTCCCCATGTGATACACAGGGTGGTTATAAGGAAGAATCGTTATCTATACCTCACTGGGGAGGCAAAAGAGCATAGTGGGTAAGATCCTAGCTTCCACTCACACCTGTGCCACTTACTGGCCCTGTGACTTTCAAGGGATAACCCCAACTTCCTTAAATTTCCATCTCTCCGGCCAATAATAAGAGCTTCCAAGCACAAGTTCGCCACTGAAGGAGAAACCCAATACGGCCACGTGGGGGCGCTCCTCTCCTCCAAGTAGCATTTCAATGGGCAGCCGTGTGTGTTCCCCGTTCTTTCAGAGAAGACCGCCCCCCCACCCCGCCCCAGCGCAAGTTGAAAGGTTCGGAAGTTTGGAAACAAAAACGCAATCAATTTTCCCATCCAGGCTTAACGTTTCCCACCCAGTTTTTCCACGAGCCAATGCACACAGCGCAAAGAGCCTGGCACTCCTTGAGCAGCCCTCCCTGGGAGGTCCTGGCCATTCGGAGGGCAAGCAAGCCGAGAGCAGCAGGCTGGGAACTGCGGGTTACCTTGCTTCTGACGGAGCTGCGACCGGAAGGCTATAAGCCAGTGTGAGCAGAGCTGTGGCGGTGAAAGATGCCAAGAACAGCGTGGCCCCGAGGAGGACAAGGACATGTTTACTTCTGCAAAGAGAGGGCATGGACAGAAGAGCTCTTCAGTTGCCGTCACCGCAAAATTTGTGGCCACGAAAGATTTGAAAGCTTGGCAATCAGAGGCACTTCCTGCTAGGGCTGCCATTGAGAGAGCCTGATATGGGGGCAGCCGTGGCAGAGTGGGCTGGAGTTAGAGAACTGGGTTAGCCTTTAAACTTGACCATTTACTGGCTGTGCGACCCTCAGCAGGACCTTGAATTTGAATCTCATCATCTTCACCCTGAAATTCACCACGCAGCTCAACATGAGACCATGCTTGGGAATGTCCCTTGCCACCCACACGGCACTATATGGATATAAGTGGTAGTTGATTTAAGAGAGAAATGACTGTCAGGCCCCAGGGGATGCAGGGAGGGGAATAGCATAAGGGGGAGCCAGGGATTCTTCCCCCACCCAGATGCAATCTGAGACAAATATCTGGGTGTTGGTAGCTGATAGGGGGTTAGGAATGAGGGTTGGGGTGTAGAACAGGGAAGCAGGGAAAGCTAATACAAGGATGCACTATGAAAGTGACTAATGCTCCATTCTTCCAGAATGTTCTATGGAGCCTTATGAAATGCACCTGAAAGCTGTCTTGGGATATGAAAGAAAGAAGCCTTTTCTAGTGTCTTCTATCCCCCATGGGTCAAGGGTGGCCCCACAAATGTCAATGCCATCACACTTAGGGACTATGCATGTTTAAGGCCAAGAGAAGTCCTGAAGGAGTCCCAGCTGTAGTATGTAGGAGGTTCTGGGGCAGCGAATGAGATTTAGAGACACAGGCTAGGAGCAAGGCAATGTCTGGTTGCACCTATTCAGAATTGTGAGGGCTGGGACCAAGACGATCTGCAGTGGTAGAGAAGAAATGCCAAACACAGGTGCAAGACTGTCCAGGCACAACCCTGTCTGGATGATGCCTCTGACAAGCCCATTCCACTGCTTGAAGTTGCCGTGGTTCTTCATGCAGAAGGGATAAGGTACCATTCGTATATCATGAGTGATGCAGGGAGCAAACGATTTTAATCCAGAGTGCCAATTCTAGTTTAGTGTTAATGCTCGGAATGGAGAAGGATTAGTTAGCTCAGTGGTGCTTGATTGATTAGTGATGTCTGCTGTGAGCGTGGGCTGGGAAGTTATGGCAACAATGCTGTCTATTTACTGTGCCATTTGCCGGACCATCTAGTTCTGCCCTCCTTGAATTACTAGCATTCTATATGAGTGTGTTCTCTAAAGAAAAAACCCTACCTTTTATACCTCCCACCATTTAGAAGCTAAATGTGGTTGCATGGCGGCAAGCTTGGATAGGGCTGGTTTTTAGCTGAGGGATTGAAATCTGTCTTCCACGACAGCCTCTAGGAAAGATGCTGACATTGGGCCCAGGGCTCCTAAGTCACAAGGACACTCAAGTAGGTCCCCAGTAGGTCTAGAGTTGGGGAGTACTAAGAATTCATTGTCTTAGGCGGGTGGTAAGTCATCCAGTCAGGCCGTCCAATAAAAACCCACATCCACCCAAGTAAATATTTGTTTAACTCCCTGGGGGACTTGAGCCCAATCTTCGGCACCTCCTCTCAGGAGTCAGACAAGTCTCCCCGCCATAATAAAACTAATAAAGTCTCCTGACATAGACTGTTATGGGCTGGATTGTGTCCCCTCAAATTCCAACTTCCAGCACCTCAGAATGTGACTCTATTTGGAGATAAGGTCTTTAAATTGATAATTAAGGTGAAATGAGGTCATTGGGATGGGTCCTCAGTCAATCTGACTGGTGCCTTTCTGAGAAGAGGAGGTTAAGACTCGGACAACCACAGAGGGAAGATCATGTGAAGACATGGGGAGAGGCTTCAGAAGAAACCAATCCTGCTGACACCATGATCTTAGACTTCTAATCCCCAGAGCCATGAGGAAATAAATTTCTGTTTAAGCCACCCAGTGTGTGGTTTTGTCATGGCAGCTACAGCAAGCGAATACACATAGGGGCCAAAACAGACAACATGCCCTGCCTTACCTCCTGTTAGTCCTTTGTCCTCCAGAGCCCTGAGCCGCTAATCAGGGCCTTTGACCACAGCACAAATGGCCCAGTGCCAAAGGCTTCCCTCTGCCAACTCAGGTTAGTGGCTATATTTTCTGGCTTTTTGAGGGGACTACTTCTGGGTCAACAGGATTGAGAAAGTCCCAGAGCTTCAAGCACTGACCACCATCCCCATTCTCTCAAGAGGGATGGTCCCTCAAAAAGGTCCATTCAGAGGCCATAGCCCAAGAGGAGGAAGGAATAGCAGAATGGCAGAGTGTCTTCCTTGCAAGCCTGTCAGCCCCCAGCATCCCGGCCAGAATTCCCTAGAGGATTTCTCTTGCTATTTCTTCACTAAATACTTGGACCCACAATTGGCACATCCTGCTGCAAATGCCACCCTGAGGAAGCCTGTAGAGGCTTGCCCTTTCTCCTCTGCCAGGGCTGCTGGGCCTGCTGAGGCCTCACACCTGATCCACCTGGTCCTGCAGGCACTTGCCAAGGACTCCGGAGCCCTTCGAGCAGCCACAGTCCAGCCCAGAGCCGAGGCCTGTGACAGCGCCAGAGAACAGAGAATGGGTCAGCCCGGCTCTGCTGGGCCCAGCAGCTCACCCTCCCCTGAGGGAGCTGTCAGGGTTTGACTGCCTTGTGGGAGGGAGAGTACACCCCAGGGGAAGCCCTGTGGGCCTGAGCAGGTCTCAGCTGCTGCTCAGGGAGCCCCGCCCCTAGCAGCAGGAGAGATCAGTGACCCAGGAGTGCTCTGGGAATCAGCCCACCCTTTCTAAGGGGCTGGGGGCGGGGGGGGGGGGGGGGGGGGGGACGGTGACTTGGTCAGCATCCCGAAGCCACCTTTACCTCCTTTCCACCTTCTTTGCCTGATCCACGGTAGGGTGAGGGGAGGAGGTCCCACTAGTTCCTAATTCCCACCACTCTCAGTGATTTCATCCTGGGAGATGTGAGTATCAATTAAGCAGGCATCAAGGGGTAGGTCTTTCTCCCAGAGGATGTTCAGAGCTAATTTTTTAAATCTCCATTTCCAAAACAAATAGCAATGTGATTATTAGATCTCATTTCCATCTTATTACCAGATTTTATTTCAATCTCATATGCTCGTATCAGTTCTGTTATGTTATCAAAAATTGTCCTCCCCACACCCCAACCCCCACTCGGAGAATATAGGCCGTTTGATTCAGATGCTTTTGTTTCAGGAGACTGGGTGGGGGAGCACTTGGACCTCCCTGCTCTCCCCACAGCAATCATACAGAGACAGACACCCCCACCCCAGCATCGGGCATTTGTTCATGTCTCCACACCCTCTCACCCATCTCAGAGGAGCGGAACTAAGAAGGGGTGAAACCTGAAGTGTTGGGGAAGGGGTGAGGCTAAGCAAGAGGACCTCAGACCCTTCAATCTGGGAAGCCTTTGTTAACATCTGCTCACCACCAATACCTTCTGGAAAGGGTGTTTAGAGAAGCCAAGGAAGGGGACTGATTGCCCAGATAAGGGGACCCTCTGTGGAATGGGGATGGTGCAGAGAAGATAGGGAGATGGCCACCCCTGAATGGGTTTAGGGGAGGAGCAGACGCTCACAGTGGCTTATCCAGCCACCCTTCCCCCAGTCCCTGCAAGACTGGGAGGGGCAAGGGGCCTCCCCTGCTTGGGGAGGGGACAGCAGCTGGGGACAATGATGATGACATGGCATCTCAAATAACAGGTAGCTGAGTGACATGTGGTCGCACATTACTGACAGGCAAGCTCTGTGCTGGTTCCCATGTGTATGATCTTGCTTTGTCCTCCAACCCTGATGTGAAGCACTACCAGCTCATTTTATAGAGACAAAGATTGAAGATGAGAGTCTGGCAACTTACCCTAGGTCCCCTAGCTAGTGACTTACCAGTCATGATTTGAACCCATGTCTTTTGACCAAATTCACGATCCCAGCAAACTGCCTTTGTGCTTAGTGAAATCCATGGAACATTTTTTTTTAATGATTAGTAAAACAAACAAACAAACCACCTCTTTGCATTTAAAGTTAGAAAGCAGTGTGTATTTAAGTATGTGAAAAAGCAGATTTTCCTTTTTTTTTTTTTAGGTGCTTAGTTCTTTTTTTTTTTTTAAGATTTTATTTATTTATTTGAGAGAGAGAGAATGAGAGACAGAGAGCATGAGAGGGAGGAGAGTCAGAGGGAGAAGCAGACTCCCTGCTGAGCAGGGAGCCCGATGTGGGACTCGATCCTGGGACTCCAGGATCATGAACTGAGCCGAAGGCAGTCACTTAACCAACTGAGCCACCCAGGCGCCCTAGGTGCTTAATTCTTAATTAAGTTAAAATTAGGATTCTCTCTCTCTCTCTCTCTCTCAAATAAATAAATCTTGGGGTGCCTGGGTGGCTCAGTCGATAGGGCCCCACGGAAATGAAGAAGAGTGGAAACGTAGTATGTTCAAAGACAGTCATCGAGGGGTCATTTGGAGTCATGACAAACTGGAACTAACCTAGATGGCCAACCACAAAAATGGTTTATTACTCCGAAAACTGACAAGTATAGCATTTCCCTTGCCCAGGATGCTTGAATGTTCACATGTGGCTGGAATGGGCAACATCCTGGGTCAGCCTGTGGTTTAAAGGTCTGTCCTACAGAGAGCATTAATAGGAAACCATGATGCAGAGCTGGTCAACACATATTTGGAACTCAGCTGCATCCCTAGTAATTGAAGACTTGCAAGTTAGATGTGAAAAATGAATGTTTTCTTACATATCAAAATAACGAGGTTTGTGTTTTGTTTTGTTTTATTATTAACATTCCATGTTGACAACAGTGCAATTAGATGGCCAGAGGACTGAATATTGATAGACCTTTAAGGAACGCAATTTGTCATTATGCCTCAAGATCCTAGAAGACATTCATGCTCTCTGACCTAGTAATTCCCCTTTAAGATATGCATTCTAGAGAAATATCAGAGTTGGAGACAAATGGTTACCATGAAAATATTGATCAGACTGTTATTTGTAAAAGCATAAAATCAGAAATAATCCAAGTATTTAACAATAGGGGAAGGTATAAGTAAACTAGAGTTCATTCATGGAATGGAATGTGATGCACACATTAAAATTATATTTACTTAGAAGTAAAATAATATAATAAATTGCTTATGTCAAAAAACTATTAAAAGAAAGATACTAATGTGCAGATACAGAATCCTTTCATATAAAAAAAAAAGCTATGCAGAAAAAAACACTGGAAAAATAAACACAAAGATATTAACACAGAATTCACTTCTCCTTGAGCGAGGGATGGGTTGAGGGTGATGGTTTTCCCCTCTCTTCATCCTATTACCTTCCAATGTTTCTTAAATAGAACATGTATTTTAACAAAAAAAGAAACATCTTTTAAAATATGGCTTGGAGGGGCGCCTGGGTGGCTCAGTCGGTTAAGCGTCTGCTTTCAACTCAGGTCATGATCCCAGGGTCCCGGGATCGAGTCCCACATCGGGCTCCCTGCTCAGCGGGGAGTCTGCTTCTCCCGCTCCCTCTGCCTGCCACTCCCCCTCCTTGCGCACTCTCTCTCTCACTCTCTCTCTCAAATAAATAAAATCTTTAAAAAATTATTAAAAAAAATAAAATATGGCATGGATAATCCACAAGCTATAAGTCTCCTCATGAATTATTGAGGCCTTAAGCTTTTCTAGAACTAACAAAAATTAACGTAACAAATATCCGATGTGGGGAACAGGTACACTGATGCATTGCTTGGGGCCCTGTAAATTACCTCCCTCTTTCTGGAGAATAATCACACAATATGTAACAAGCACCCCAAAATTGTGCCTACCCTCTGACCTAGTAATTCCACCTTGAAATAGGGCCCCACGGAAATGAAGAAGAGTGGAAACGTAGTATGTTCAAAGACAGTCATCGAGGGGTCATTTGGAGTCATGACAAACTGGAACTAACCTAGATGGCCAACCACAAAAATGGTTTATTACTCCGAAAACTGACAAGTATGCAGATCATGTCGCTATGTGGCAATGTTTACAGAGACCGTTAAGTGGAAAAAGCTGAGACAGGATATTAATACACACGGATTGCCACTCTGCAAAAACACAGGGGGATTCGAGTGGGACAAAGATCAGAGGAGGATGCGGAGGAAGGTAAACAGTGGAGGATGCGGTGTCCAGACTGTTCTGAAAAGTTTGTTTCCTAAACTGTAAAGGCTGCTGTGCCCAGAACTGCAGGGCTCGCTGAGAGTTCCGTGGGAGACACCCCTGTCCCGGGGAGACACCCCACAGAGAAACACCCCTCTCCCAGGGAGACACCCCACAGAGAGACACCCCTCTCCCAGGGAGACACCCCTGTCCCGGGGAGACACCCCTGTCCCGGGGAAACTCACTTTCCGTGGATGAGGAAGATCGCCGGTGTGGTGAGATGGAACTGAAAGTCGTTGGCGAGGTACCACGTCCAGCCATTACACTGAAACGAGAGGAGCAGAGGTGACCCCTTTCCCTCGCTCATGGGGCACCCCACTTTGTCTCACCTTCCTGGAGCTGGAGGAGGAATTCACTGAGCAGGTCGGGGGCGGGGCGGCAGGTGGTGGATTTCCGTGGGAAGAGAAAGGAATTCTGAGTTACAGGTATTTCAGGTACCCCATCTCGTTTAATCTGGGAACAAGCCTGGGTGGTGGGGATTATTATTGCCAGCTTACAAAATGGAAATGCAGGCAAGTGTTCTCGCTTGTTGAAAAAAAGCAACAAGAGCTAAGCTCCCAGCACCCTCGTGGGAGCTCAATGCCATCCCATGATCTGAATGTAGGGAACAACCATCGTTTTGGTGCCGTCAGAGTCCATGTTGTGCCCTCTTCCCTGCCTTGCCAGCCCTCCCGGCCTCCAGGGGAGGAGTGTATTCACTTAGAATGGAGGCCTGGCTCCAGACGAGCTTTTCTGGGAAGGCCCAGAGTTCCCACGCGAGCCGGACAGGCGGTCCTCTGGCCCGAGCCACCTCGCTGCAGAGGCTGTCCGCCTTTGTGTGGAAGGAGGCAGTTACCTGTATTTCTTCTTCAATGTCAGGAGATTCCCGGGGCAATTCTCTCCAGGGCTTCAGAGATAAAAGGCTCCTTGTTCCCTCCAATCCCCCACCAGACTTATCCAGGGCAGGTGATATCCTTTCTTGTCCCCGCTAGGAAGAAGTTCCCGTGATGGGCCAATCTGTGAGCACTCAAGTCCTGACAGGCCTCACACTTCTGCTTTCAGGGACCTAAGGCAGGCTTTGCCCCCAAGAGGCGGCTGGCTCGTGTCCTTGCCCCTGCTGCCCCCGCACGGCCCAAGCCAGTCTGCATCTGGGCGAACAGGCCAGCCTGTCCTCCATGGGCCCTGTCCCAGACAAGGGGCCCTCTGAAGGCGGTTAGGCTGTGATGGACACCCTGTCCAAGCCGCCGGGCACTGACTAATGGAGGGCAGCCACCCCCTTGGTAAGTAGTTACGGGCAGAGATTAGCCACGCTTTAGCGATTCTCTTGTCAGCCTTGCTTTCTAGGCATATGCAAACGTCAGTGACATGATTTAATTACAGCAATTTCACTTGCGTTTACTCCAACGTCATTATGAGGGTAGGAGGGCTTTGGGGGAGCCACCACCCATATATACAGAGGCTGTGGCTTGAAATGGAAAAGAATTCATTATGGCGAAGGTGCAGCGCAGTGTTCCATCCCAATTATAGGCTGTCTGCGTGGAGGTGAAGAAAGTGTCCTTTCTCCACGGGGTGACACGGGCTGGAACAGGAACCCTGACGGGGCAAGGCCGGCTGCATCCGGGACAGGCACCTAGATGGTCGGTGGGCAATGCCCACTACTCCCTCCCTCTGCTTGTCACAGCAACCCTCCCTGCCAGGACTGGTTTGGTAACGCTCACCCATCCTAAGGGGCTAGTCTCCCTGCCCGAAGCCCACCTTACTATGGCTTCGCTGTTACTCCAGAGAATATGCCAGAAGAAAGGGCATCAGACTTGGGTTGGCCCTTGGAAAGTTCGCCAAACCACCTGAAGGGAGACCTGGCGTTTGCCCCTGCCCACCTGCCTGTCGCTAGCCCCTAACAGGGGACTCACCGCGTTTCGGACCGACAGGAAATTATTGAGCAACAGCAGATTTGTCCACCACACTTGCCGGCAGTTATCCAGGTGGAACTTAGGCATGTCCCAGACAGGTCCCCAGGGAACAAGGGAGAACAAGCCAACCAACAGGCACACCGAATACAGGTGAAGAGGCTGCAACCTGGCAGGGAGAGCCGGGGGAGAGAAGGTGACTCTCCACAGTGGTTCCGTTCGGTCTCCTGGGCGAGCGAGCGAGAGAGATGCTCCAAACCAGATTGTACTGGGTGGGCGACCAGCTCCCCGCCCACACCACAAACACTCCTACATTCCTGGGTAAAAAATCATGAGCCCCCAACCCTGAGCCAGCTCCGGTGCTGTGGATGCAAAAATACTATTAGTCATTGAGCAGGTGGAGCATGTTGACCACTGTGCTAGGAGCTTCTCAGATACTTCTAAACCTCGAAACACTCCTTCAGGGAAATATTACCTCCATTTTACTGATGGGGAAATTACAGCTCTAAGTGTGGGTGATTTGTCCAAGGTGGCCCCACCATTACCGCAGTGCTGAGATCAGACATCGGTTCCTGTTCTTTATTTCTCCCTCCCTTCCTTCATACCCTACCTCGTCCCAAGCAGGACCTGAAGCAGCTACAAAGATGATGGGGAAAAAGGCACAGGTGTCCTTTAGAAACAGAATTCGAGCCACATCTGCCACCTAGTGTATACATTCTAGCAGCCACGTTTGTCATCCTGGGAGCGAGTCCTGCATGGGTCTCCCTGCTCAGTGGGGAGCCTGCTTCTCCCTCTGCCTGCCACTCCCGCTGCTTGTGCTCGCTCTCTGTCTGTCAAATAAGTAAATAAAATCGTAAAAAAAAAAAAAAGAAACAGCTACAATGAATTTTAAAATAATTTAAAAACCCTTATAGAGCTCAATGTATCCAAAATGTTATTTCAATAGGTAATCAATCTAAAAAGTTAGTGAGCTGATTAGCATCCTTTCTTCTTTGACTACATCTTTCAAATCAGGTGTGTACATTTACTACTCGTCCACACGTCCATGGGCCACCTGTCGGGTGGCTACCTATGGGACCTCACTGGCCTCGAGTTTAGACGTGAGGTTGTAGCGGGGAGAGGGACACGGTCCTGGCATGGATTCTGGGTGAGCTAGGACCCCAGCCATCTTTTAAAAGAACACATTTAGAAATTCAGAGCAGAGCACATGGCCCAGCAGCGTCTCCGAACATTTCTGTGGGGGCACCAGGGCACAGGGTGGATTGTGACAGATGGGAAGGGCAGGACTGGGGGTGGGGGCGGGCAGCACCCAGTCTCTGGTCTGCACGGGCCCTGGGCCTGTTGGCCTCCCGTCCTCCCCACGATGATAGCATCCTTCCTAGCATGTGTCTGGTAGGCTGGAGGGCTGTGGGCATGCAGAGAGCAGGCAGGAATTGCAGATCACAGTCAGACAGAAAGGGCTGCCGACGGTGCCAAGACGTGTCTCCCCCGATCAGCTCAGACAACAGCCACGGAGCCCTCCCTGGGCCTGGGCCCTGCCACATTAGCCATCTGACCAGGCTGCCCTGCAGCTGCTCCCACAAGCCTCCCAAGCCTCCCTTCCCACCATCTGTCACCTCCCCAGGGAGAGTAAGTCAACCCCCTGCTCCCCTCAGAACCACAGTTCAGGTCAGATGCCCTCAGGAGGGAGCAGGGTCCAGGCGTCGTCCTCCCCAGCGCAGCCTCTGAGTTGGGGCCCGCGGGGGCGAGGCAGAGGCTGCTGGGGTGGGTCTCACCTTGAGGAGCAAAGCTAGAAATGGGCATTCTAGTTTTATCTAAATTTTCATACTGAGAACATCATATAACTTCCCTCTTCCCTCTTCTATGGAAAAGGGGGAATAATAATTCTTTATCTTAAGGAGGCTCATGATTCCCGCCTCCTGAGATTTTCTGAGAACCAAATGAGATCAGTAAGAAAACAGTGGGAAACATCGAAAGCATCAGGTAAATGTAAATGCTCTTCATTTTTGTCCAAGCTTCTGGAAGGTTTAAAGTCAAGGTTTTCAAAGATTAAGAAGTACAACTTCGGCTGTTTTAAGAGGTGTGAGAAGCAGGCATGCTCATACCTGGTGGGCAGGAAGGTAAATTGGAAAACGTCCATCAAAATGTTAGATGCACCAAACTACCAATTCTACTTGTAGGAATTTACCCACAAACATGTTCACAACAGTGCACAAAAATGTGTAGACCTTGTATTATTGTCTAAGATAGCAAAAACTTGGAATTACCACCATGCCCATTAATGGGGACAGGTTAAACTCCTAATAATCCACCCACACATCACCGTCCCAGGCAACCTTTGAAGTCAGTGAGGTGGGTCCTTTCATGCAGAGAGAGAGACACATGCCAACATTAATCATTAAGTGCAAAAAAGCTACATGCAAAACAGTGCGGCATATAGTATAATCCTATTCATGAGGGAAAAAACCCCTGATGCATATAAATACACGGAAAGTATCTGCAAGAATTCACAAGAAACTGTTAGCAAAGGTGTCCTGTGGGAGTGAGACTGGAATGGGTAGGTACCCTTACTTTTAGTGTATAACCTTCTGTTACAGTTAGACTTTTTTTTTTATTATGTTATGTTAATCACCATACATTACATCATTAGTTTTACAGTCAGACATTTTTACCAGTAATTTTTTTACCTATAAAAAAACCCTCCTGATTTTTAAAATGTGGCTCCTGGTTGGAATAATCACACAGTTTTAAGGGTCTGGAACATCTACTCCCCTTGTTTCTCATTATGTAATCTTTGTTCTGATTGACCCCTGGAAGCCGGGTTTTTGCATTTTCTTAAAGCCACGATAGCTCTCAGCTGTTGCCCGACTCTTGCCCTTGTCCTCTTGCTGTCTATTCTCAGAGTGATTCTTGGAAAATGCAAATCTGACCATGCCACTCCCCTCCGGGAATCCCCCAAAGCCTTCTGGTCTCCAAATAACATAGAAAGTCCTTAAGGCCGGGCCATGGAGCTCCAGCCCCATCTCTCTGAACTCACTCCCTTCTGTTCTCCAAGTTAACTGCTCCCTCCACTCCAGCAGACTCTCTGTGGTCTTCCAAACACACCAACAGTGTCCCCTTCTCTGCACCCACTCCCCATGTAGGTCATTCTTCCCTCACAGCATTCTCTTTGCTTAGAACCTTATTTCATTTCCTTTGACAAATGTCACCTCCCCTGACGACCCTTCCAGAGGAAGACCACATGGTGCCTCCGTCTTCCAATTAACACTTTGTGACACTTACCATCACTGACCTGTTAGAAATGTATTTGCATGTTGCAGCTTAATGTTGCATATTTATTTGTTGATCTTCTATCTCTATTCACTAGAACATAACCCCCAGGCCAGAAGGCATTTGCATGGCTATTAAGTGCTGAGTCCCCAGAGCTTACAACAGTGTCTGGCACACAGGGGGCCCTCAACAAATACAGAAAGAGTGAGTGAACAAATGATCTTACTTCCAGTCCTCTTGGAAGTAAGGAGGCAAGCAATCAATTATAATTGAGTAATAACAGTGGGTTTTGCCAACAAGAATGAGAACATCAAAGTGGCTAGGAGTATGGCTGCTTTCTCACTGGGTTTACCTTAGAGAGTGAGTTCAAACTCGATTGGTGATGCTTCCTCTGATTTTTCAACAAAGTTTTGTCCCACTTTAGACTCTCTCTTCCTGGCTTCAATCTGCCACTTTCCCAGAGCTCCCTATCTCAAGAACATTACCACCATCCGCCATGTCGTTCAGGCTGGAAAATTTGAGCGTCCTTGATTTGCCATCTCTCCATTCCCAATGCCAATCACCAGTCCAAATCTGCTGTCCTGCCCAGATATTGCAATAATTTATTCATGGGATCCTTGCAGCCATCTTGCCCCATAAGGCCTCACACACACACACACACACACACTCTCTCTCTCTCTCTCTCTCTCTCTCTCCCTCCCTGCCCCCACTACTGCTTTATCTTCCCACTAAAACACTTCCCGCTCTTCAATCCTCCACTCTAGGACTTTTCTTCTGAAGCAGGTTTCCCAGGCAGAACCCACCAAGCCATGGGATCCCATGCCCCACCCCCTAACAACCCATCAACATCTCTCACTAAAACCAGTCCCTCTGCAGAAGACCACAGGGTAGAATAGGCCAACCCCAGTGCCAAGTTACCCAGAAGATATTGAAAGAATAAGCACTCTGTCAAGCGGGCAGGACAAGGGCTAGATTTAATAGTGTTTGGAAGAAACCACAAAGGTCATGGTGAAAAGACATCAGCAGAGGTCTATTCCCTGGCTCAGACTCATTCTTAACCTATTTACCAGAAAAGTTACAAGGTGTAAGAAGCAACAACAGTTAATAATGGCAGCTTGTGCTTACTACGTGTCACACACGTTTCTACTCAGCACATGTTCTCTCGTTTCATCCTCACAAGAGTCTAGTGGCATGAGTACCACTATTCTTCCCATTTCTGAGATGAGAAAACTCAAGCACAGAAAGGTTGAGACACCTCCCTGGGGTCACATAGCTGGCAGAGGATTGAGCCAGAATGCAAGACCAGGCCGACCAACTACAGTCAGATCTTACGCACTCCATTTTACTAGCCCAGAAGACTGTGTCAAGACCCTCCTTCCTGTTCCATGACAATGAAGTGTGACAAAAGAGGCATGGACCCTAAGTGATGAGAGCTGGCTCCAGTTCAGCCAGCAACAAGCCATGGTTTAGAGAAGGTCCAAAAGGAACGTTGGGCTACGTGAGTTGAAATTTCCTCTTCTACCGAAGCAGAGTGTGGGTCTCATGGTCTCACAACCTGTCTGCCCTCCCACTGACCCCATACTCCATCCCAGAACCGAATCCCCTCCTGCCCCAACCACCCACACGTTTGTAACAAGGACCACGTCCTCCCTGCCTCCCTCTGAGCAGAAGCACCATTGTCTCAAGCATCACCTGCCCCTCTCCTTGTTATATCTTATTTTATTTTTATCATTACCCTTAGTACTCTGAGTTACAGGACCCAATTACTACCAATTTATAGGAGCCATGCACCTTCTCCTGTTGGATACACATTCCAGGGAAACCTGACAGTACATTTATTGAAATCTGCTGCCCATCAGCTGAGGAAAAGGATGTTTTTGCTGGTTTAATATAGTTCAAATTCTATTAGGATAAATGCCACAAAAATTGGTATTTTCTACTGGCAAAAGCCATTAAGTCAGCAAAAATCAACTTTATGAAGAAAACCACGTCTGTCGGTTTATTTTTCTTTGAAAATTATTTCAAAAGAGGGCTAAGGACTAACAAGTAATAAATGATTACACAGCAATAATGAATTAAGAGATGAGACAAACAGACCTACCTTGTAAGGCGGCTGAGGATGTACCTGAGTATGACGCTGAGGGTTGTTCCTTTGTCTGAATTCTGATGTATCTTTAAAAACGACCTTGCACTTAACCAGCCACTGAGAGAGAGAGAAGACAAGTCACAGGAATTACTGATCCGTGATACAGTTCATCGGATGATTAACGTGGTGGTCTCTAGCAGGGTACAGTAAGTGATACTGTAGGAACAGGATTATCTCCAACACCAAAGCAATAATAGTTTTCTTTCTTGCTTATGCTGCATGCCCACAGCCAGTCACCTTGAGCTCAGCATCTTCCCCACCAGGAGACCCAGGCTGAGCTTGCAGCCACTCTCTGAAAGAGCACCAGCAACCCTGGCAGAGAATAAAGCGTGCTGGAGGGCTTCAAACCAACAATTAAATGCTCTAGCCCAGAAGTGACATGTTTAAAGCTCTTAGCATACTGGCAACACCAGGTACCCCTCATTGGCCAGACCTGGTTCCCACCCAACCGCCACGGGGCCAGGAAGTAGACTCTTACCAAGGGGCTGGAGGGAAGAGAGCCAGAAATATTTGGTGAACAACTCTAGGAGCTACCACATTAGCCTTTTGAAATAATAAAATCCAAAGCCTTCCACTTCTATGGTACCACCTCGTTTTCAAAGTACTTTCGCTAATGGTGCTGCTTTTGCTTCTAGAGCAATACCAGACTCCTTTGCAATAAATGTTTGTTGAGCGAGTGATTGGTAAAAGGGAAGATGTTACCATCCCTGCTTACCTAATAGGGATACTGAAGCTCAAGGACTCAGTGGGTTGCCTAAGATTCTCCACCAACATATCCTGATGACGAGTTTGTTACCCGGAATGCTCAGCTAAAGAAACAGGCTACGTCTCTGAGTTCTAACCTGATGATAAGCAAGTTTGGGAGTGAGTTTCCTGACCTTTTGACCTCGATGCCAATAATCCTTGTGGGTGTTTCCCTAAGGAACAAATGCATTTCCTATTGCAAAAGAAGGTTGTGTGTGTGTTGGAAGGGATCAGGAAGGGTTAGAAAACGTCTTTGTTCTCTGCCAGCACGGATTTTCTTTTGAAACGCAGCAAGTCGGAGTCACTAGAATAGGAACACAATTGACAGAGACGTGTAGAAAGGCGCGGAGAGGTGGAAGTGAGACAGCCAATTCCAGTTCCGGCCTCCTCTTCATTTCAGGAAAGAATGAATCGGGGTCTGTCTCTGTGTGCGGGCATGCACCTGCCCGCCGTTCAGTTGGTCCGGAGGACAAAGATAAAGGAGGCAGGGAAAACAGGCCTCGAGCAGGAGAAGTCGCTATCGGAGGCTGGGAAGACCCAGAGACCTGCACCCACAGGGGAAGAGTACAATCCTGCCGTAGAGTTGCATGGAGTCAGCCAGAGAGGTAGAAAGGGACCCCCAACCGTCCCCAGCAATAGTCAGGGGTCTTTGGCTTTACTATGTAAAATATGAGTGACGTGGTGGGTGAGACACGCTTTGGGCCCGAAACAAACATTATGTTTCAGTTCTAATTCTAACTTTCCTAGCTGGGGGGGAGACTGAGGCAAGTGATTTCATCTTTGCACATCAACTTTCCCAGCTATAATAAAGGGCATGATATTCGTTCTAACTTCCCGGGGGTATTGTATATGGAGTAAAAGATTGTAGGCTCTTAGCACGACGGCGATACTAAGCATCACTCAGTAATATTTCCATTGTCCAAATGAAAATTTTATTTAAGAGAATATGTGCGCTTTCTTTTTTCTTTCTTTTCTTTTTTATTTATTTAAGTCCTTTCTACTCCCCACGTGGGGCTCGAATCGATGACCCCAAGATCAAGAGTCGACTGCTCTTCCGACCAAGCCACCCTGGTCCCCCAATGTGCACTTTCTAAAGTAAACAAAATGAATGCTGGAGGGGAAGAAAACAGTTACTGAGACAGGCAATGAGAAATAGAAGCAAACAGGGGTAAAGAGAAAAGAGACGGATGTCTTGGTCTCTTAGGCCGGGTTAGGAGCTGCTCGCTTCCACTCCGCCCTGCTCAGCTCATGCAGTGGTCCACGGACTCTAGCAGGAGGCAACGGCACCCCAAGGATTCTATGATTCAGTGGGCCTGGGAATCTGCATTTCTAACAACCTTCCAGACGAGGCTAGTACAACTGCATTGGGACTAGACTCTGAGAACCACTGATAAGAGGCCCGGCACTCCCCAGGCCCCAGAGTGAGCCTGGGGTTAGATACGTAGTCTTTACTATAAAGGGGCGGCTATTTGTCGTTTTCTTGGACATCGGAAATTTCATAACCTTGGCCTGTGTTGTGGGTATCTCAGGACTGACCTGGTGGCATCCCTGTTGTCTCAGAGATTCACACCGAGAGTCCAGGCATGACCAGTGGCTCTTCAGGCCCTCATTCTTCCCTCCTGGTGGCAATGCTCCAGCCTGAGTTTTGGCTCTGGTTCCAGAATCCTGATCTGGCCTTGCCAGCTTCCCTCCCACGGTTTGGAGCTCTGCCAATCAGCCCCATCCAGCATTTGGTGTCTTTTTTTGTTGTTGTTTTTCTTTTGCCTTGTTCTTACTAGTCCTCTTGCAGGGAACAGAGTTCTGGACTTTGAATGCTGTCCCCTGGGCAGACCTCCCCACTCACCAGGGGCCGGCCCAGGTCTCCCGCAGCTGGGCTTTGCCTGCCTGGGTTAAGCCCAGCTGTGCCTTCTTGGAAAGTCTGGTACCTCCTGGATCCCATATGACTGCAGACGGTGGCCTCTGACCCTTGCCTGTCTGGGCCACTCGACAGTCACCCTGGCCACCCCCTAGCATGAGCTCTGCCCTGGCGGCCAGGTCTCAGCTCATTCTGTACCCTACTTTCTCTGCATTCCCCCAAGAAACTATCACACCAGAGGCTTGAGCTAAAACAATTAAGAAACCATTTCCCAAAAAAAAAAAAATAAGAAAGAAAGAAATCATTTCAACAAGTACTTATTGAGCAATACTATACTCTTGGCACTGTTTTCGGCATGACAGCAGGACACGAAACAGAAGAAAGTCCTGCCTTATATTCCAGTGGAGAGACAAGGACAATAAATACAGAAATAATAAGCAAGTGGCATCTCTAGGTATGTTAGATAAAGAGAAAAGATAAATCAGGAAAAAGGAAGTTAAGAGCGCTGGTGGGTCCATTTTAAACAGGGGGCACCAGCATGGTGCGGGGAGAAGGCAGCATTTGAGCAAGCGCCTGAAGGAGAGGGGGTGAGCCACAGCGGCTCAGGGAAGTAAGTGCTGCAGGCATGATGGTCATCCCCAGCCTCCTGTTGCTTCTGTTTGTGAGCTGGTTCTCTCCTAATCTGGTGGTTCGATGGTTCATACGCTTTGGCACGTCATAGACTTTAAAACTGAAAAAAACTAGGAGGCACTAATCAGAGCTTGCTCCCTTGTCTGGCCAACAACAATCTGAGCATCCATCCCCATGTTGCTCCTCTTTGGTCGTTCCCAGCATGTAATGTAGACGCGTTCTCGGATCCCCTCTCTCAACTGGGACCTCTCCTGATCCCCAGCCGCCACGCAGCCCCCCCACATACCCTGCCATCTGTGCAGCTCCCCCACCGCGCCGCCCACCCCCGGTCAGTCAGGGTCCCAGAATCAAGCCCCGCATCCGGCTCCCTGCTCAGTGGGGGAGTCTGCTTCTCCCTCTCCTGCTCCCCCTGGTTGTGTTCCTGCTCTCACTATCTCTCTCTCTGTCAAATAAATAAATAAAATCTTTTTTAAAAATATAATAAAAAATAAAATAAAATATCAGATGATACTGCTTTTCAAATGAAAGCTATTCAACCACTTCCTGTTCTACAGAGACAGAAGTCCGAATTCCTGAGTCTTGCTCCACGGTCCTCTGTGGTCTGGCCCTGCGTGGCCACTCTCTTTCCTCTCCTCCCTCGCTCCCCACCTTCGCTGTGCTTCAGACTTCTTTCTGCTCCTTTAACGGGGTGCTCTCTCTCTCTCTCTCTCTCTCTCCCCTTAGCTCGTCTGCACCAGTGGCTCCGTTTGCCTGAAGCTTTCCCGTCCTGGATTTTTCCCATGGCCGGCTCCTTCTTGCCGCTCAGATCCAATAGCAGCGCCTCAACAGACAAGCCTTCTCCGACGACTCTAAACAGGTACCCACTCACTCTCACAAGCCACTGTTCTATTCTTTCCTAGTATTTATTACTACCACATCTCTTCTTGTTTATTTGTTTGCTTATTGCTGGACACACACACACACACAGAGTCTTGGGACCACAAGAAGTCCTCCTTTGTTTTATCCATGGTTGTATCCTCAGGGCCTAGAACGATGCCCAGCAAACAGGTATTCAGTAGATGATGGTTGGATGGATGAATGCCTAGCATTTGACGGAAGCAAGTGCCGTCTACTGTCACCATCTCTCTGTGAAGGAAGAGACATTTAACCCAAAAGAGGTAGAGGCAGGTCCACACAGTGACAGAGAACACGGACTCCAGAGTCAGCTTGCCTGGGTTTGGGTGGCGGGTCAGCACCAGGACTATCTCCCTCAGTTACCTTTAAAGTAGAGATTTTGTAGTCCATCCATACAATGGAATCTTACTACTCGGTCATAAAAAGAAATGAAGTACTGAACTGTGCCACAACGTGCATGAGCCTCAGAAACATCACACTAAGTGAAAGAAACAGACACAAAAAGGCCAGACGCTGTGTGGCCCATTTATATGAAATGGCTGGAAGAGGTAAATCCAGAGGTTCAGAGAGCAGATTTCTGGGAACTGGGGGGTGGGGGAGTGGGGAAGATCCGCTTGATGGGTACGAGATCTCCTTTGAAGATGCTGAACATGTTTTGGAACTAGTTAGAAGTGGTGATTGCACAATCCTGGAAATGTACTAAATGCCACTGAGGGTGCCTGGGTGGCTTAGTTGGTTAAGCGACTGCCTTCGGCTCAGGTCATGATCCTGGAGTCCAGGGATCGAGTCCCACATCGGGCTCCCTGCTCAGCAGGGAGTCTGCTTCTCCCTCTGACCCTCTTCCCTCTCGTGCTCTCTATCTCTCATTCTCTCTCTCTCAAATAAATAAATAAAATCTTTAAAAAAATAAAATAAAATAAAATAAATGCCACTGAATTGTTCACTCGAGGGGCTTAATTTTATGATACGTGAATTTCACCTTGGCAACAAAAAAGGAAGAAAATGGGGATTTTGTGGTCCCCTGTTAGGGAGACATCGTTAGGATTAAGTGAGGTAATGCTGCAGCACTTAACACAGTGCCTGACATTTATCACACAATTAAGAAAATGTACCTCTTAGTAGTTCATTTAAATAAAGAAAGCTTTCTGAAACGTCACACCATTTTCAGATTTGTTCACATTTCACTCTAGTGAGAACCGGCAACTTTATCACAGATTTGCATCAGTCCATAGGCCAGAATTTGAGAACCACTGAAATAAACAACTTTGATTCAGATAAAATCACCTTTTGTAAAAAAAAAAAAAAAAAAAAAAATTAGAGGGGCGCCTGGGTGGCTCAGTCGATTGAGCATCTGCCTTCAGCTCAGGTCGTGATCTCGGGGTCCTGCGATCGAGCCCCACATGGGGCTCCCTGCTCGGCGGGGAGCCTGCTTCTTCCTCTGCCCCTCCCCCCTGCTCATGCTTTTTCTCACTCTCTAGCTCACGCTTTCTCTCTCGAATAAATTAATAAAATCTTAAAAATTTTAGAAGCCATCCTACCTCATTTAACAAACTCAAGATACAGAAGAGAGGAGCTGATGACAACAGTACTATCTACAGTCAGACAGAAGCAAAGGTCAAGGGAGTAAATCAGTGGAGCCATTCAGTATTTCTCACTAAAGTGATGATGGCATCTCACACACACGCACACATCCCCAGACAAACACATGCACAACAGCGGAGAAAACACCATATTACCTGACCAGGAAGAATGTGTCAACCCCAAGATAGAACGGGCCGCTCCGAGAACAAAGGTACAGTGGGTTTTTAGGCACTCTGGTTTTCCACTCGAGCACGTTATCTGCAACAAACATGAAACCAGTGTCTTTTTGTTTCCCAGCAGAAAGTCCTATGATTTAGGTTTTCAGAACAAGCAAGAGGAACCGCCTTCAACTTTCATAGCATCAAGAGGATGTCGTGCAGCCCCACAACTTGAGAGGAGAAGGTAGATCGGCTTAAGAAATGGTGGCAAAGGCACCCAGTAGTGCCTACCATGGACCCGTAACCAAGGCTTTGAGCTGCTTCCTACCCTCCCAGCGCCCACAGCTCGGGGGCTCGGCAGCAACACCCTGCCGCCATGGGCTGGTGCAGATCGCTGGGGGGCTTCTTCAAACCCCCCCAGTCTGGCCCCTTCCCTCAAAGCCAGCACGTGGGGCAGCTCCTTCCGGCGGTGGCCTGAGGCCACAGGCAGAAGGCTGAGAAACACTGATTTAACACCAGTGCACAATATTTATTTATGCTTGACTATTTTTCCAGGAGAAAGAAACGTTAGTTTCTGGATTCATTCATCATTACCAGGAGGAATCCAGCTCTTTGGACAAGGAATATGCCATCCTCAGGTATCACTGTTCACCTGTTCATAGGGGCCTGATTCACACCCAGGAGGAAGTAAAGCAACTGCTGGGCACTGGCCTGGGAAAGCCACTGGTGGAGAGGGGTCATGGCTATGTCTCTGAAATAGAAGGAAGGCTGCAGCCTCACACCCCCTGGCCCAACAGGCTCCCCTCACGGGAAAGCTCTCTTCCTCAACTGCTCAGAAGGACTCATCGGTTCTCCTCACCCAAAGACAGCCATGCAGTCATCTGACTGGTGTGCCCCGACATGATCCAGAGGAGACTCAGAACCCGGATGCCATTCAGCACAGAGCACGGGCTCCCTGGCGTCTCTATTATCCAGACGGCCGGCACATTCTTCTGCCAAGAAAAGCATGTCAGAGCATGCTCCACGGCTCCTAAAAATCCTGGACAAGAGCGCAGGTGTTACCGTCCACCCTGAAAGCCAGATCAATCCACACGCTGCCTCACAAATGAGTCAAACACACACACACCGTGGGTGATCTCGGTTGTCACACAGACACTCCTTTGCCGTGACCCTGGACTGCTCAACCCAGTTCTCCACGGTCCCCTCTTGATCTATCTGTGCACCTTCGGATGGGGTCTCCCTCCGCTGTAAACCTTGACTTGCCTTAACATGTGTGCCCTGAGGTCGGTGCCCAGAATACACTGCCCAAGCTCGGGCCCCAGGGATGCCAACCCCTGACCCCAGTCCTGTTTTACAAAGTGGAGGGGGGGGCGGTCTTAGACCTCATTCAGAAACCACATGCTTCATAAAGCCAGCATTCCACCCGGAATGGCATTCCTTCTGTCCTCCCAAGACTGAACTACTTGCAAACCACATCCCTAGCTGTCAAGTATGGGGATGAAAACAGAGGGGCACGTAGCACAGCAGTTAAGGAGGCTGCCCCTTTAGGTAGATGCTCCTGGCTCTGAACCTGGCTGTCCTCTGGCAAGTGAGTTAACCTCTCTGTGCCTGTGTTTCCACATCTACGAAATGGGAATCAAAGTAGATCTTACAATCTTAGGATTCGCATGAAGAACCAATGAGATGACATAACAGCTGATCTACTCACTCGTTAAGCCCTATTGCTTTAATCCCTTCCACTTAACTTATTCCTTCTAATTTCTAAAAAATTTTAATTGGACTCACTTAGATTAATTCCAGATAGCTGGAATTGTGAACCGGGAACCTCCAAAGGAAGGCTCAAGCCGCTCCGAGGGACTCATGCTTTCTCTTGGATGTGGCTTGGTGCTTACACGTTGCAGGTGCAAGGTTGCAGAATTGAGACTTATTTACAAATGAGATCTGGCTTATAACCAGGTGCTGGAACTCTAACTCAGTTTCTTAAATGGGAGAATGTAATTGCCAAACTTTTTGAGGCTCCAGCTGTAAATAGGAGTTTTTCCCTTGGAGTCACTCTCCAATGTGCCTGCCTGAAGGCACGGAGCTCACCCTGACAGAGGGATTTTCACTCACCAGCACTTGGCACGGCACAATCTGCCGTGTCCTACGTCCTGAGTCCCAGCCCCCCTCGGGTCCTGAGAAGCCACGTGCCACTGTGGAGAGATACGGCCCCGGGCTCTGCCCAGTTTCACCCACTCTTCCACCTCTCAGGACCTCTTCCCTCACTTTTAAACTGAGCAGGCTTTTTGGCAGGGCTCTTGTGAGCCTTTGAGCACATTTGTCAAACATCTGGCCTGACGCCTACCTTGGCAAGCGAGTACTGAATACATTTTGCTACCATTTGATTTTTTTTCCAGCTAAATTCTACTTATGGGTGAACTTAACTAGTAGCAGCTTATAACACTGTCTGAAAATAACTGGTCTTTGGGGAGGACAGCCTCTCTGAGCCCCTTGTACTCATTTGTACATGGAAAGGAGAAGCTGAAGGGGCATGGGGAGGATCGGTTGAAATGACGCATGTGGTCAGTGGTCCTCAAAGGGGGGGGTCCTCAGCCCAGCAGCTTCAGCATCACCCGGGAACTGTTAGAAAGGCACAGTCCCAGGCCCCACGCCAGACCTACCCCCTCAGAATCTTTGAGGGTCAGGACCAGCAACCTGGGCTGTGACAAGCCCTCCAGGTGCTTCTGAGGCTCACCGAAGTTGGAGAACCACAGGGTGTGACAGTGCTTTGGAAAACCTTGCGGCCCCTTTGGATTTTCTCAGTGATTATTACTGTGAGCTCACTTCAAGTAACCAAACACAGATTAAGAGCCCTGACTTCCAGGGGCTGAAATCCACAGCTATTTAGTTCATGGAAACTTCCTCAAGCGTGCGCTCGTATTTTTCTCATCTAAGTAGGAAAGGACAGGCTCGTGTAACAGGAAACCGCTCTGAGCGAATGCAATGATTATTTGGAGGATAAAGAACCAGGAATCTGAAATACCCAATTTGGCTCTAAACTTCTAGAAGACATGGTAGTCTTAAGTTGATTTGACTCGCTGGTGAGTGGAAAAGTGGAAAGGAAAAAAGATGCTGACCCTGGGGCTCTCTCCATGTCGATTTTTATTTCCAACCACTCAGGATGTGATATTTTACTCTGATGGTATTAAATACAAAAAAATTGCTACAGCAACAGAACTTGGAACCCCCCCACCCCATACACCTTTCTGAAGCCACACTTAAGTGTAGCTGCTGAAAAAGCTAACATAACCTTCGTATCCTGATCATAGAGAGTCTTATTTTGGGCCAAAACCCTAATGTTTCAGTGGCTGATTGCTGACTCCCTACCAGGTGTGTCTGCCTAAAATCCTGCGATCTGGCCTTAAAATGCCAAGCTCCGAAGCTCAGCCTTCCAACTAATGATAGGCAACGGTAAATTTTGGGGACTGCAGGCTCACCCTCCGTCTGATAACTAGAAGCATGCGGCAGGTGCCTGGAACCCAGCTGACCTCAGCAAGGTCAGTGTTAGCCAGAGGGCTTGGCCAATTAAAGTTGCTCCCCTTTCCCGCTTCTGGCTTAAGGGAAGAGAATGAGGAAAAGAGCAACAAATCAGGAGGACAGTTCACATTATCTCATTTAATTCCCTCAACAAATCCCATTGTATGCCCCCATTTTACGCAGGTGGAGACTGAGTTTCCTAGTGGTCAGACAACCTGACCAAGGGCAGAGTTAGAAACCAAGGCAGGTTTGACCAGGGATCGCTAAGCATGGGCTCTTTCTACCATGCCCATGGAACCTTCTATGTGGCAGCCGGGGAGCCGAGTTCTTGAACCACATCACATGAGGAGACACTGATGGGCTCTGAGATTTGGGGGAGCCCATCATAACTGGTCCCCAGCCTCTGATGTGGAGGAATTGAAACAAGAGACTAAGTCGAAGGGCCAAACGAGGGCCTGTGAGTAGAAATTACAGAGCAGCAGGGACTGACCCCGTGCAGGAGCCTAACAATGAACGCTTCCCACAACGATGACCGTGGGTGCAGAGGGACAGCCTTCTGACTTGGGAAGGAGGGCAAGCGTTCTCAGCTCTTCTGTTACATCATCCTAACACAAACATGCTTTGTGTTGCTTTCCTTGCTGTTGGGAGTTTGTGGTGGTGGTACCTTTGTTTTTGGTTTTGCCTGAAGATCCCAAACGGGATCGGATAAAATCATCACTGTGCCCTCCACAGGGGACATACTCCCCGAAGCTACTTGATCACATACTCATAATCTTTTGGACCATTCATTGAAATCGTGTCTTATTTTTTATCCCCTTAGTTGGAAGAAGGGAAGGCCAATTATGTGCACCTGCAGGGGCTCTGCTGAACATGATTCCCCACGTCCTAAAGGTGTTTGCACGAGGACACTATTCTTGTTTCAGAGTGTGTGTGTGTGTGGGGTATCTCTGCCTTGCCATATGGGCAGGCAGAAATGAAGGAAAAGCTCTTGACTTGTCACTGAAACACAACACAAGGCGACCAACCGCTAACTGCTGTTCAGCTCTCCCTTCACTAAGTGGGTTATCTCGCTCTGGCTCAGCTACCCTCCGCCAGCCTTTAAGCCAGTTGCACACTTACTCCCTGGCTTCGATTTATACGTAAATCCTTTACCTTAGTGATGCCAGGAGGGTTCTGAGTCATCTGCGTAGCTGCAACACTGACAATAGACACTGGGATCATGTAATTGTTCTCTAAAGGATTACTCCAGTGAAACCCAAGCTCTGTTCTGACCTAGTCGTTGGGTAGCACAAAGACACACTGGATAATTGTACCCGAGAAAGAAAGCAGCATTTTCAGCGACCTCGCCTTAACACTCCGATAGCAAACAAAGACCGAATTGTGAAGAGCAGAGACCCAACCTCCACACCGGCATTTAGAAGCCGTGGGGCATTCACCAGATTCCAGCACCGTAGGATTTATTTCCCAACTGCGACTCATCTGAGTCACCTCTTGGGAGTGGTCTTAGTTTCTTAAAATGCCTACGTTTTCCTCTGCTTGGGGTTCCTGATAGTGAGAGATGGGCCGGGCAACCCGCTCTGCTTCTCAGTTCAGTCCTCTGTGTCTCTGTCAAAGGCAGACTCCCGTCAGGGGCCGGAGCGGCGGGTGGCGCCCCGTCGTCGGACCCCCTCCCACTGAATGCCACGTAGACAGTCCCGGCCAAGGGCAGGAAGATACCCAGCAAGGTGAGGCACCTGCAGGAAGAAGACAGGTGTCACCAAGGCCCACGTCACATCAGTGCCACGGGAACGTGAGAGAAAAGGGCCAGGGAAAAACAGACCACTCAAGCCCCTGACTAAAATACAGATAAATATCGAACAGTTTTAAGGGGTGGGAGTGGTGTTCTAGAATAAATAATGAAAGAAATGATAAAAGCAAGGATGAATGGATTTCACTAAATTCCTCACTATAATTGTAATAAATAAATAAATAAATAAATAAACAGAAGCAACCCAAACACTGAGGAAGATACTTGCAGCTGATACGACTAAGGATTCATATCTTTCACCTGAATTATATAATTTCAAAATGAATAAGAGCCCAACTCACACACATGCATAGAAACAGGAGTGAAAAGTAGGAATAGCATCTAAACTTGGGGGAAAGAACTCCTTGTTACCAATTTTTTAAAATGTTCATTAAACCAATTTATTTAATCGATCAAATTGGTACTAGTTTTTATAAAGGTAGCCTTTGATGCGGGTGACGGGGTGGGGGTATGGACATGGACATGTCCCAGGGGGCAGTTATATAAGTGAGGTTTTCAGGAAAGCCCCTTACCCATTATCCCAGCTACAGGCCAGCAACTCTGAGTTTGTCTGGAGGACCAATGCATGATGCAAACAAAAAGTAACAGGCAGGATTGCTGAGGTGTTTGTGGGAGAAGCCATGCCTCAAATAAAAGAAATTAATCTTCAGAGGTCACATGGCAGGAACAGGACTATTTTGGGACAGGATACATTTCTCAGTGACTCTGAAACTCAATCACATGTGGGTGCGTTCAGCCTTCCTCTTGAACGTCTCCAAATTTTCTCGTTTAAGGTACACGGTGATCTCCCATGGAACGTTGGCCAGACATCACTCGGGAATGAAAATTAATTGACTATGCGTTGTTGGTGAGTGGAAGTTGATAACATAGCCCCGACATACACATCCCAACCAGGGACCCCAGATGCCCATACTCACAGACACACGGCAACAAACGTGTCGAAGGGGAACATTCCAGTAGCGCATCTAGCCACACCCACGCCAGATGAGGAGGAAGAATTTATTGTAAAGAGAGAAAGAGAAGGGGCCAAAAATGAAGTATTTCTGAATCTTAAAATATCTACCAAGGGAAAAAAAGAGAGACTGTATTAATAATACTTTATTTTGCAATAAATATACTTTTCCAAGAGCTTTCATATCTATTATTTCAAAACAAAACTTTGACATTAAAAAGGGCAGCTGGCTTTTCACATAACTGATGTACAGATGGGGAAAATAAGGCACGAAGATGCTGAGATTCACAGGAGGAGGAACTCAACCCAGGGCAATGTGGACCGTACTCTCCAGAATCCGTAGCCCGCCCAGACTCTCGAATCCTCTCCCAGCACAGCACTGGAAAGGACAATCCTAAAAGGTGCCATGGCCAGCTCAAATCTGTTTGCAAACAGGTTCCCACAAGAGAGAGATAAATGCAATATGAAATGAAAAAATACAGTGGAAGCCCACAGGCTGGGGAAAGGTGGGGTTTAAAATGGAAACTCAGAAGCACCAACTCAGGGCATAGCTCATGGTCACTGCAAGTAATTACTAGGGATATTAGTGGTAAGATGAGGGCCGTGGTCTGGAACTTTCGCGTGCCCCAGAATTACCTAGAGGGCTGCTCCATAGATTGCTCCCTGTCTCCCCTCCCTGCAGGCTGATGCAGTAGGTCTGGGGTGGGACCTGAGAATTTCCGTTTCTAACAAGAAACCAGGTGCTCGTGCTGCTGATCCGAGCACACACACTGAGCGCCACAGGACCAAGGAGCTTCCAGAACTTTGGCAAAGGTTGGGGAATGGCAATGATAAATACCAAAAAAATAAAATATTAAGTGCCCATTAGGTATGAGGCATGTTTTGGACATTATCTTTAATCCATCAACAACCTACAAGAAACTTTTATTGACCTTATTTTACAGACAAGGAAAATTCTCCTCGGATACTCATGCACTTAAGCATAGTGGCTAAGAATACAGGTTCTGCAGTTTGAGGGCCTGTATCTACTCTTTATAATATGACCATGAACAAGTGACTTCATTGCTCCGTGCCTCAGTTTCCCCCTTGGTAAAATGGAGATAACAGTTCCTTATAGGATTGTTGTGAGAACCAAATGTGGCAATAGCTAGAAAGCCCTTAGGAAGTGCCTGGTACGGTCAGAGCCCAATAAACATCGCTGTCTCTATTATTGCTGCTAAGTGGCAGGGACGGAACGAACCCACTCAGGTCTGTATGAACCTGAAGAGTGCGGTCTTTTTATTTCCTCACGCTACCTCATTTTACCACAACACGTTGCCTAGACTTGCATTCAGGAGGCTTGGGTTTGAGCCTGCTTGCTGTGTGACCCTGGGTAAGTTACTTCACCTCTCTGGGTCTCATTTCCTCCTCTGGCTAATGAGGAAGGGTGGGTTGGACACGGTGTCTTCTAAGGTCCTTCATGAGTATGACCAGAGGGTTTCTGAAACGTCCCAATAGGTCACTACAAGATTAATAACATGTGTTAATTGTGATTCTTAATCACGACCTGTTAAGGGTGGAGATAGGAAGGAGGGGTTGTCCACGTGTCGTCAGCACTGGCCAAGGGTGAGGGTGCTCCATCAAGCAGGTCCCCAGAGGAGACATGGCGGCAGTTTCCTCAGTATCCGATTCCATTTGCTCTGAATCAATGCCTCCCTCCCCACCCCCCGCAACAGTTACTGCCTGGTTGTACTTGAATTTACCAAATAAACTCTTTCACTGAAACAGAAGCGTATTGACCAGCCGCCATGTCCGTCCTCGCTGGAATTTTAAAAGGAATCACCTGGCCTTCTGTTTGATCCATGAACCACTCCGGAGCCTCCAAGCCGTGTGAATCAGGCCCTCCAGCCTGATGACTCCGGATGCCCCGAGGAAGTCAACCTCCCAGACCTACAAGGCAAAGCCCAGCTCCGTCCCTGCGGGGACCTGCAAACCTCCTCGGAGACCACAGCAGCCAGAACCTTCCTTTGTCAGCCTTAACTGCACAGCACGTACTGGAGGCCACAGGGAAATCCAAAATCAAGATGGCAAAAATCTTCGTAGTTTATCTACACTCTTAAAAACCTTTTTAAAAAAATGTAACTTAGGGCCCTGAATGTAACAAGAAGTACAAGACAACAGAATTAGGAACAGAATGATAACGTGTATGTCTGGCCTTCCAGATTACACTTCCTTCATCGTCCATTGTTTTTAAAAGTTGCTTTTCCTTAGGTCTGACTCTTCCTGTCTCAAGAAGCACAGGCTGCACAGCGGCCAGAAAGTGTTCCCAGTTGTCTCCAACAATCATCTTCCTGCATCTGAATCCTAGGGGGGCTGCCTCACAGGCCCCAAAGCCGATTAAAGCAAGTTACAACCCACTTCACCTCCGTCACCTCAGGGGAATCCCTTCCAGAGTCAGTGCTTGCCCCTGGATGGAGTCTGAAGCGTTGAGCAACAGTGTCCAGACCGGAGGACTGGGAGGGTTAACACTGCCCTCGTGACCCCAAAGATACTCCAAGGGGCTGGATACTTACACTTGTAAACCGCGGGATAGCTCTGGCTGAGCCAAGAAGCCAGAACGATGCTGTGTGTGTGTGTGTGTGTGCTGGGGGAGGTAACCAAAGAATTAAACTTGGTTACACTGAAGTCGTCATCAGCTTTGGCCTCCAGACACTCAGTCCCATCCCCCCCATTCCCTCAGGGGTAAGAACACATGGTGGGGAGGCTCTGCAGGGCAGCGCCCTCCAGCTCCCGGCCCACCACTTTTCTCTTCCTACCTTCTCCCTGCTCCTATACCACCAAGTACCTTACCTGTCGAGTGTGGACACTGGAGTGTGGACAACCTAAGCCCCACCTCCTTGACCCTCCCCCACATCCCCCCCTTAGAGGGGGGCTGGCAGCCAGCTGGGCAGGGAATTCTGGGGTTCTAGATACTCAGAGTGTGACTGGAAGAGAAGGGAAAGGTGGGTATGTCCCCTTGATCCCACAGACATCTCATCGGGGAGGACACAGCCAGAGGAAAGCCGGAGGAGTGGTCCCTAAAGTGGGGGGCCTAGGTCCGAGGGCTGCACTGCAGACACCACTCCCCCAGCCCCCAAGGCGCCTACCCTCCTCCCGGGGCGATCACAGGACTCCAGGGGGCCAAGCATCAGAAGAGGAAGAGAGTGAGTAGAACAGAATTGGGCCCTGGAGGTCCTAAAATCAAAGGGCACTGGGAAGAGACTCTTACAGACTGAATTGTGCCCCCCCAACCCCCCAAATTCCTATGTTGCAGCCCTAAGCACCAGGACTTCAGATCGCAACTGTATTTGGAGGTAGGGCCTTTAGAGAGGTGATTAAGTGAAAACGAGTCCATCACAGTATCCAATCCAGCCGGTGTCCTTGTATGAAAGGAAGACTGGACACACACATGTGAGCACACACCCAGCGAGCAAGCCCAGGAGAGAGGCCCTGGGAGAGACCAGCCCAGCCGCCCCCAGCACCCGGGACTTCCAGTCACCAGAACCGGGAGAGGTGCATCTGTGGTGCTAAGCCCCCCTGGTCTGTGGTATTTTGGTAGGGACAGCCCTAGCCACCTAAACACGGAGACCCGCCAGATGGCAACACGGGCCGAGGCAGCGCGGGGCCCGGGAACCCGGCCGAGACTCTGGAATGGGGCTGCCTTTGGACGGCTGGGTCTGCTGGGCCCGGCCTCCCTCACCAAATGACCGGACTCAGTGTCCTTGGTCCTAGCAGCCCCGAGGGGAAGCACCAACACCCTGTGCCAAATCCTGCCATAGTAAATAAATCCAGCTGGCAGCCTGTGTGCAGTCGACGGAAGCTAAGTGTCTACACGGCCAGATTCTAGGTCTCTACAGGGGGATAGGAGACCTCTGATCTGTTTCCCACCAACATCTCGCCACACGCCATCAGCAGCCCCTTCGCTCTCGCAGGCCCGCTCAGGCCCGCACGTCCCCTTCCGCCCCCTCCAGTGTGGCTCTTGCCCCCAGCCCCGCAGCTCCCCAGAGCTCCCCTTCACGACACCCTGTCCCGCGCTCTCCCCGGGAGCTCCAGTGGGTACTTCCTGACCGCCTCTCACTTCGGGCACACACGGCCTTTTCCTACTCACTAAATTGGAGGGTTCCCCAAAGGAGTGACTCCCAATGCTTTTGATTCTCCCCCCTCTGCACACACATGTGATCTCCCACAAAGGCCAGAGGCAAACGTGCTCAGGACATATTTCCTGAATTAAACTGAGAACACAACATGGTATTCTGTGAAATGTTTTGGATTCCCTTTGAGGCACTTCTGTGGGTAGTTCAGGAGTCATTATTAAAATAGCTCCATTTTAGGGGCACCTGGGTGGCTCAGTCAATTGAGCATCTGCCTTCAGCTCGGGTCATGATCCCAGGGTCCTGGGATCGAGCCCCACATCGGGCTCCCTGCTCCGTGGGAAGCCTGCTTCTCCCTCTCCCCCTCCCCCTCCTCATGCTCTCTCTCTCTCTCTCTTTCAAATAAATAAATAAAATCTTAAAATAAAATAGATCCATTTTCTCAATCAGCGCTCAGGGAATGCCTGCGAGACAGGGGTGGGGGAAGAAGTCACCCTTCGAAGTGCTAGAACTGTTGTTCTATGTAGGCCTCATAATCTTGATTATCCTAGGCAGGGCGAGATGAAGTTAGCTAACGGCACAGATGGACACATATCAGGGACAGTTACACACTGATGGTAGGCAGCCTGGTTCTCACGGCCTTGGGCCACTGCCAATGGAGACAGGGTGGCCGCCATATAATGTTGTAACATTTCCATGAGGACAAGAGACGGGCTGATAGTGAGTCCTTTTTTTTTTTTTTTTTAAGATTTTTTATTTATTCATTTGAGAGAGAGAGAACAAGCAGAGGGAGAGGCAGAGGGAGAGGGAGAAGCAGACTCCCCGCTGAGCAAGGAGCCCGATGCGGGACTCGATCCCAGGACCCTGGGATCATGACCTGAGCTGAAGGCAGACGCTCAATCATCTGAGCCACCCAGGCGCCCGATAGTGAGTCCTTAAGAATGGAAATACGTAGCCCTTCAAAATTGAGTCTGAATAAAATCTGCTCACTCGGCGTTCACAGACTCTTACCCCAGCCCCTTCTTCTCCAGCTCTGTGCTCTCCCTTGTGACCAGAGCCAACTGTTTGCTCTCCATTCAACTCCAGGCAGATTTGCCTGATGTTTCTCAAGCACATTCTAAGTGTAGGGCCCCGGGGTTTGTGGCTGGGAGTCACCATGTTCCCGATTCCCTGCCGTGTTTAAGGGACCTCTGATATCCAGCCAAACTAGGAACCAGGCATTAGGTAGGGTCCTGGGTTGAACACAGTTCTGCTTCAGTGTGTCTCTCCCTCCTCCACCCCCAAAAGGTTAAGCCCTAACGCCTCGGGGCTGTGACTATGACCTTATGGGAAATAGGGTCTTTGCAGAGTAATCAACTTAAGAGGAGGTCTTACGAGGTTAGGATGTAGGTAGGCCCTAAATCCTGTGTCCTTTTATACAGAGGGAAATTTGGAAAAGGAGAGACCCACGGGGAGGAACGCCCTGGGACCCCGGAAGTAAAGACGGGAGGGACGCGCCACCCTGTGTGTGGTGCTTTGTTCCAGGAGCCGAACAGGACACTGCAAGTGAGGAGACACACGGCGGTGTGAGCGGTCGGGGACCTAGCCCATAACTGCATTTGTGGTCATCACACCCACCTTTCATCTAGACTCTCGTGCACTAAAGCTTCGGTAGGTGACTGTCAGCCTCTTGACCCTCTCAAGTGACCTCCAGGAGATCTCAAAAATAAGGAGAACCAGAAAACCAGTTAAGCAGAGGTATGCAGGCGATATTTTGGAACAATCAGATATGATAGAAATATAATGTATTTTTTTTAAAGATTTTATTTATTTATTTGAGAAAGAGAGAGCAAGCAGGGGGCAGGAGCAAAGGGAGAAGCAGGCTACACACTGAGCAGGGAGCCCGATGCGGGGCTCGATCCCAGGACCCTGGGATCAGGACCCGAGCCGAAACCAGACCCTTAACCGACTGAGCCTCCCAGGCGCCCCAGAAATATAACGTATTAAGATGACTGAAGGGTTGAGACGCCTGGGTGGCTCAGTCGTTAAGCGTCTGCCTTTGGCTCAGGTCATGGTCCCAGGGTCCTGGGATCGAGTCCCACATCGGGCTCCCTGCTCAGCGGGAAGCCTGCTTCTCCCTCTCCCGCTCCCCCTGCTTGTGTTCCTGCTCTCACTGTGTCTCTCTCTGTCAAATAAATTAATTAATTTAAAAAAAATTTCCACGTGTCCCTGTGGAAATCAGAAAACCTTGATTTTTACAACCGAACAAATTATGCCTTGTGACTCACATGTATTTGGAGAACTGCTTGCAAGCGTGCATCCCCCTTTTGCTTCCCGTATAGAATCTCCCCTTTAGCTGACGGGCTTCGGAGCCCTTCCTCAGGGCAACCTGAATTACCGTCTCCTGGGCCACTGTCCTCAGGAAGACAACGAATAAATAACTAACCTACTTTGAGGTTGGCTTCCTTTCAGTCCACACTCTCACACCCCGGTGTGACATATTTTCATTCTCAAGAACTCACACCGAGTCAGGTGACTGAAATGTTATAAGATCCTATGGCAACCACACGGTGCAGTTTTTTTGCCTGGAAGCAATACCTTCTGCCCTGCCCAGAATCATCTTCCCTCTCTCTGGGATCTTGGGCTCGTTTCTTTTTTTTGTCCTTTTTTTTTTTAAAGATTTTATTTATTTATTTGACAGAGAGAGAGACAGTAAGAGTAGGAACACAAGCAAGGGGAGTGGGAGAGGGAGAAGCAGGCTCCTCACTGAGCAGGGAGCCCGATGTGGGGCTCGATCCCAGGACCCCGGGATCATGACCTGAGCCGAAGGCAGACGCTTAACCCACTGAGCCACCCAGGCGCCCCTTGGGCTTGTTTCTTCTAGGCCTGTCTGTGACGGTCCCCCCCTGGGAAGCCTCTGCTCTCCTGCTCTGGGGGAGCGGGGCCTGCAGACGGCTAGCCACAGGGCACCATCGCTGGGCTGGCTGCCCCCACAGCTGTAAAGGAAATAATGGCAACTCCTCCAAAAAGCTTTAGGGAACAGCCGACGAAGCTCCCCTAATACATCTACCCCTGTCAGCTCGGCCCACCCCAGGCAGGGCCCTTCCTTTTCCCAGGTCCTCAAAGACAATCAAGATATCTTTGTATTGATAATAGCGGCTCACCTTCCACTTTATTCTAATGTCAACTCTGGCTAATCAGCTTAGCATTAGCCAAAAAAAAATGACGCTAATTGATAAATCTCTTAAATAATAATGAACATTAACTCAGACTGAGCGAGCCACTTATTCACTTGAAATGCTAATCTAATAACAACTTTGCACATTCATCTTCGTTGCTAGGATATTGATGGCCTCGCCAACCAGAACTGAAATTGAGATTTAATTCATAACAATTGGTTTTCTTTTTAACAGCACATAAAATATTTGTCTAGGGAGACAGATACTGGACCCGAATCTGGAGGGATAATCATAAATTCAGAGGACAGTGTCAGGTTATTGAAAACTAACCGCCATATCAACACTTGAAAGAAGATGTTTAATACGTGTGTGATATTGCGATATAATAAGAAATCTATATTTGGCCTTCAGCCTGGGTTCCTGGCACGGAGCTCTTAAAGCCCTTGGAATTTCCTGAGTGAGGGGGGTAGGAGGAGGGCGTGCTCTTATTCATAATAAGCTCCTTTCAACAAGACGAGTTGATGCTAACAAGATGACTCCAGGAGGAAGGGGCTCGTTGACAGAGGAACCAGTCCTGGGATTAGACGATTGGAACTTCCAGCCCCATCCCCCACCTCCGGGATGGCCGGAGATTGAGTCAATCACCAATGGCCGGTGATTTATTCCATTGTGCCTACATAATGGAACCTCCATGAAAACTCTACACAAAGGGGTTCTGAGAGCTTCTGGGCTGGTGAACACATCGAGGTGCTGGGACGGGGGGTCACCCTGAGACGGTGAGGAAGCTCTGCGTCCCTTCCCAATAGCTTGTCCTGTGCATCTCTTCCGTTTGGCTCTTCCTTTATAATAAGCCAGTAATAGTAAACTGTTTCTCTGCATTCTGTGAGCCATGAGAGTGAATTGTCAAACCTGTGGAAGATACTAGGGGAACCCCTTATTTGTAGCCACGTCAGACAGAAGTGCGGGTAACCCCAGGACCCACTACTTGGGATTAGTGTCTTTAGTGGGGGATAGTCTTGTGGGAATGAGCCCTTAACCTGTGGGGTCAGCACTCTCTCAAGGTAGTGTCAGGAATGTGAGGGGGGAGACACACATTTGGTGTCAGAGGTGTTCAGTCAGTATAGAGAAATAGTGTCTTGCTTTTAATGTGTCGTGTCAGTTCTTATTTGGATAACCGGAATAAATACAAAAGATGCTAGCAGTAAAACTTCTGGGCTTTAAAACTCTTTCTTTGAACATTTTGAAAGAATTAGAGGAAACCAAACCAGTTTCCATGTGAACTGAAGTGTATTCATTCTGTGAGGCGAAGGTCAGAAGAGCCTGCAAGGCCTCAGAGAGTTGGAGCCACACTGAACTTCCAGGTCCACCCCTCTCCGTGCAGAGGAAGTGACTAAAATGTGGGCAGATTAAGTGATTTGCCCAGGATCACACAGCTGCGAGGTGACAATCAGGACCAAACGCGGGGCTCCTAGCGCTAATCCATGACAACACATCAGCTGCACACAATCCCGGTTAGGAATGGATTTGGCTGCTGACAGATTCCCACACATGGGCCACAGCAGAGAACGTTCACGGTATGGAAACCGGACTCGGCCCACCTCCTCTCTTCGGGCCTAACCGGGCCGCTGTGAGCGCCTGGAAGCTTGTTTACATTTCAGCTTTGATTGTGTGAAGATTCAGCCCTTACCTTCTCTTTATTCTTTCTCCTCCTTCCCACCTACTCCTTTCCTATCCCTCGGCCTCCATTCCCAAATCCCCACAATGCCATTGTTCTCCGGGTATTGGACTTATCAGGATGAAAGGTTGGTCATTCCTGAAGGAATGGCCTTTCTTGGCTCCAAGGAGTTGGGAGTCTTCAAACTTTATGCTAAGAAAATAGTTTCCCGGGGTATCTTTCGGACCTACCCAACTGAGACATCACAGTCACATCCTCTTCGGCGCAAGAATCAGGGACACACACCCCCACGCTGTATTCGGCTCCATCCTGGAAAACACAATGCCACAACGCTCTTTCATTTTAATGTTCACAGCATACGTGCGCCATCTTTTCTAAGGCCTCTGCTGTGGGCTGCCCAAGAATTAAGATTAGGACGGGGGAGAGAAAGGTACTGAAAGAAGTTTGCTGACATCTTTGGAGATGGCTGTCCCATTACAGAGTGGTTCGAGTTAAATTTACAGAAGATCAGATGCACTCATCTTGAAATCAAAGTACGCAGCTGATTATTTACAAAGCCAGCACCAGGGTGGGATCTGCCTCCATGCATCTGTCCTCCCCTCGCCCCCCCTGGAACGGGTCATACTAAGATTGGACGGTCCTATGATTTCCAACAGAATTGCCAAGTGGCAATTTCTCTGTGACAGGACACAACATCCCAAGTAAAGATTTTATTCATCAGTCAAGCCCGTGATCAGAACGCCTGTCCCAATAAAGAAAAGATCAAAACGTAAATAAAAATTTCCGCAATGCTTCTTCTAAACATGTAACTTACATGATTGTGTAGGCCTGACCTTTTGCTCTGATGTCAAAACCATTAATCTGCTTCAAAAATAAGATACAACATTTGTACACACTGATTAAACTCTCAAGCAATCATTATCATAACCCTCAGTGGGACAAGTGGAGTTGGGTGATAATTTCTCTATCTCCAATGATTAACCATTGCAAGACTGTTTTATAGCATTTATATTAGAGAGCTTGGATTTCTTCTTGCTATTTTATATGACTGTTTCTAGCCAACCCGTTATTTTTATGTTAGTGTGGTGTGACGTCATAAAGTCTATTTTTGTCTTTAACAGGAGGCTGTGTTGCTCCTGGTTTTATTTTCCAGCAGTAAAAGAACTATCATGCTTTGAAGATAATAAGCGCTGTGACCTCAGGCAGATGCAGTGATGTTCATAGAAGTCTGGGCCCAACCGCAAAAATAACCTCAAATTCCTATCTCAGAGCTCTGAGATACCTTTTGGTATTCGAAAAACAGATGGTGAGTCAGGAGTCGATGGCCAAAAACATTGGCTGGGACTTGACCTTGGATTCTACGGGAAGGTTGTCCAGAAGGCTTGCCCCATACGATGGGGCGGGAAGAATGTCTGAAGGCCCAGGCGGTCTGTGGACAACTGCCTCCTGTAACGTCCCACACTCCGAACATGCAAGTGCAGCCGTTTGTAATTTAGTTTTAACGTTTTGCCGAACATCTTTAGAGTTTTGGGCTTTTTTATTAAGAAAAACAAGCGATGGGGTTGTACGGGGTTCCCTATCACGAAATTCAGCTGTCCCCCGAGAGCATGAGTGCACATCCCCCACGCTCACCTGCAGGATATGCAGTTTGCAGTACTGCCCTCGGAAGCTCCCCGAGGGAGCGTGCGTGGAGAGGCACTCACTGTAAGATCCCAGCCTGTCCACGTTTCCGTTAAGAACGTTGCTCCCAAGCTTCCCGACGGAGTCATACACTGAATTACAAAACAAAAGAAGTAGGCAAGGTTAGCTTCTTTCTGTTACTTTCAAATGAATTTATAGGCACTCGGTTCCACCTCCTAAAGCAATCAATCTGAAATGACGGAAAAAAGAAGAGAGACAGATGCATTTAGATGCCACTCTGCGGGCCTGCATCTCGTATCCACAGCCGCTGTCTTCACTGAGGGAGAACAGTGATGTATGTTCTCATGTTGGTTGCCTGGTCTGTTGCTGAAAAAAAAATTAGGAATTTGAATGCTTTTAAATAATAAATGCTTTGTGGGAGTCAAAAGACGTAGCTAAAAATTGGTAGCTTTTCTTTCTCCCCCATACAGCCAGGAGAAAATACTCAGTCTTTAACATTTTTTACCCAGTTTTGTGGGACCTTATTTTAGACAGTTAATTTTTTTTTTTTTTTTTGCTCCTTCAGGAGCAGAACAGTCACCACGTTCCACTGTTAATGGCGCTCCCTCACCCTGGTCCTGCAAAGCTCTTTTGTTTATGTTCGCACGTGTCCTTGGGTCCTTTACTTTTAAATAATTCATTTCCTTTCATTTTTCTTTTTTTTTAAAGATTTCATTTATTTATTTGACAGAGAGAGACACAGCGAGAGAGGAAACACAAGCAGGGGGAGTGGGAGAGGGAGAAGCAGGCTCCCCGCGGAGCAGGGAGCCCGACGCGGGGCTCGATCCCAGGACCCCGGGACCATGACCTGAGCCGAAGGCAGACGCCCAACGACTGAGCCACCTGGGCGCCCCTCCTTTCATTTTTCTTCATCTCTCCCTTCCGTTACCACCCCCCGTACGTTTAACATCTGTCCTCTCATCTGTGGGTGTTCTTGTTTTGTGTAAGTGTATTTATAATTTATATAAATGATTTTGTGCTTCAGATCTCCTGTTTCTACAAATGTCACTCGGGGCTACGTCTGTGGTGTTATCCATGCTATATTTATGGTGTTACTATGCTCAGACCTTCTACCTACTTGGAATAATTCATCAGAATCTTAGACTCAGCCATTCCCTGGGTGATGGACACAGAGATGGCCTCCAACCTGCAGAAACACCCCGAGTGTCTCCATACAGACCTACATGAGGCTTTCGCTCAGATACACACACCAGATATACAACCGTGAGTGGGATTGCTGAGTCATAAAGTAGACAAATACTGGTAAATCCCACCAGATTGTGCTCCGGAGTGACTCCCCCAGTATACCCTCCCCAGAGATGCCAGTTCCTATTTCTTCTTTGCATCGTCCAGCTTTCATGTTTTTGGCAATGAATGGATATGAAATGCTATCCAGGGGCACCTAGCTGTCTCAGTTAGTAGAGCATACAACTCTTGATCTCAGGGTCATGAGTTCAAGACCCACATTGAGTGTAGAGCTTATTTAGGAAAGAAAAATATAGTTAAAATGCTATCCAGGGGCACCTGGGTGGCTCAGTTGGTTAAGGGTCTGATTTCAGCTCAGGTCATGATCTCAGGGTCCTGGGACTGAGCTCCATAAAAGGCTCCCTGCTCAGCGAGGGAGTCTGCTTCTCCCTCTCCCTCTGCCCCTGCTCATGTGTGCGCTCTCTCTCAAATAAATAAACAAAATCTTAAAAAAAAAAAAGGCTTGTATAGAGTTGAAACACAGAAGTAGTAAAAATAGAATAGGAATTGTTTATACAATTTAAGATTACCAAGGAAAAATGTAAAATCTCATGTAAGGACACAAAAAAAGACAGGAGTAATTTGCATGACATCCAATGATGGCTTAATACAAAACTGATGTCAACTTACCCCATATAATCTATAAATTTGAAGCAATTTCAATCAATGCTTTAGTTGGATGTTCCAAGGAGCTCAATAAACTTTTTCTGAAATTTTCTGAATACAAATTTTCTGAAATTTATATAAATCCTTAATGGTCTACAAATTAACTAGCTCAACTTTGAAAAGAAGACTAAAGGCAGGGGCACCTGGGTCGCTCAGTTGGTTAAGGGTCTGGTTTCAGCTCAGGTCATGATCCCACCCTCCTGGGATCAAGAGCCCCGCTTTGGGCTCTCAGCTCAGCGGGGAGCCTGCTTCTCCCTCTGCCCATCCCCCTCCCCCAGCTCGTGCTCTCTCTCAAATGAATAAATAAAATCTTAAAAAAAAAAAAGACTAAAGGCAGATACACAATATACTACAAATCCATAGTAATAAAAACCATATGGTTCCGGTATTAGAACCAGGACTGGCTTCGTGGGCATGTGACCTCTGCGGTCACACCGGCCCCACACTTGCTTTAAGTGTGATCTGCTGTCACCATCTCAACATTCTTAATAATTTTTAAACAAGAGGCCGTGCATTTTCATTTTGCATTAGCCCTGCCAATTATGTAGCCAGTCTTGACTAGAACAAAGATTGTTGAAAGACTGGAACAGAAAGTGAAGGCTCAGAAGAATGGATTTCTGTCCAACAAAGGACGCTGTGGATAAGGAACGCACAGATAACCTACTGAGTCTAAATGTTTTCCGTGACTCAGGTAGACAAGGACCAGTATTTAGAGTAACAAGGAGCAATCTTGCACATCAAAGAGCAAATCCATGAACAATGGGCAAAGGATACACACAGTACTTCACAGAAGAGAAAACCTCAATGGCTGGCTGACAAACAAAAATATCCTGAGTTCTTTGTAATTAGAGAAATGGAAGTTAAAACAACTGGATAGCATTTTATTTTATTTTTATTTTTTTTAAGATTTTATTTATTTATTAGAGAGTATTGGGCAGATTTTCCATTTTTAGAATTTTTCATTTTGATGGCTGGTGTTTTCACTGTCACCCAGCGTTCTAAGTGTTTTGTGAGCATGTTGTGAACCCTCCACTATCAGGTCTTTTTGTGACACAGGGGTTCTCTGTAACATGTTACTCAGTTTCCATACTGTTTTTCTTTTAGCTCTGCCTTTGTCGTTTCAAAGTCAGGTGTCTGATTATCTTTCTTTCTGGAAATTTTTACAATTTCCTCATTGTTTTTCATGTTCTTAAGTTTAGGTGGGTCCTGACGGGTATGCCGGGGTATGAATTTTCTTTATCGGTCTGGTTTGGCGCTCCGCAAACCATCTCAATCTGACGTCATTTATCTTCTTTTAATTCTGGAGAAAATATTGCAATTATTTGTTAAATATTTCCTTCCTTTTGCTTGTTTGGTTACATTTCTCCTTCGACGGCACTTCTGGCCTCAAAATCTCTTAGTGTTTTGTTTCCCAGATCTTTATCCCTTCTGGCCGTACTTAGCGCATTCTCCTAAATGGATTTTCTAGCTCCTCGTGGTCCGTGGCCTCCATCTACCTTACTACTTACCCCATCTATTATGCTATTTATCTATTTCAATTAGTTTTACTCTAATAGTCCCTTTTGATTTTATGATTTTTTAAAAGATTTAATTATTTGAGAGAGAATGCATGTGAGTCGGGGGAGGGGCAGAGGGTGAGGGAGAGAATTCTTAAGCAGACTCCCCATTGAGCATGGAGTCCCACGTGGGGCTTGATCCCAGGACCCTGAGATCATGACTGAGCTGAAATCAAGAGTCAGATGCTTAACCAACTGAGCCACCCAGGCGCCCCTTGACTTTATGATTTCTTATTCACACTTTGTATTACCAATGTTCTCCATTAGCTCTCTGATTCTATTTATTGTGTTTATTTTTATTATTTTTTTAAAAGATTTATTTATTTATTTATTTATTTGAAAGAGAGAGAGAGAGAAGGGGAGGGGCAGAGGGAGAAGGAGAGGGAGAATCTCAAGCAGACTCCCCTCTGACCACAGAGCCCAGTGTGGGGCTCGTCCCCACGACCCTGAGATCATGACCTGAGCAGAAACCAAGAGTCAGACACTCAACTGACTGAGCCACCCATGCTCTCCTACTGTGTTTATTTTAAATCTTTGATGACCAGCTGTTCCAATAATTCAGCTTCATGTAGCATACATATTTGTTCAATTCACTGTCATTAGCTTCGAGAATATAGTAAATAGGATACAGTTGGATTTTCTTTTAAGCTTGATTAATATGGTCCAGTTGATCACTTTCCCTTAAAATTACTTGGTGTGACCTATGCTGCCAGAGCCAGATCCTCACATTATGCCAACAACAATCAACATATGGAGCCTATTATGTGCCAGGCACTGTTTTGAATGCCTTCTGTCCATTATCTCTTTTACCCCTCACACAATCCTATGAGATTATGAGTAATCATTTTAATCTCCATTTTACAGATTCATAAATGGAGGCAAAAGATGGTAAATAATGTAAACAGCAATATAAATCTGCCCCTTTTTTAATTGCTCACGAGAATCAGAGCTGGGTATTTAAACTAGCTAGTAAGGATCAGAGCTATGTGTTCAAATCCATCTTGACCTGAACCCATAACCTCTTGCCCTCTGAAATACACAAAAATACCCCATTTTTGTCAGTTTGGTATATAAGTTCTTACATATAACTAAAGATAATGATAGTCCTTAGAATGAGCGGGGAGAAAAACTCCACATGCAGCTTTGGCAGATTATGCATCTCTTCTTCCATTTCTGTCTTTGTCTTTACTAACAGTTGGGTTTCTGAGAGTTAACCTAAAAATCAGATGGAAGGAACTGCATTCTGCTTACATGTGTGCCTTTAAAAAAAATAATAATAATACATGATTTTATTTTTTTAATTTTTTTTTTTTAAAGATTTTATTTATTTATTTGACAGAGACAGACACAGCGAGAGAGGGAACACAAGCAGGGGGAGTGGGAGAGGGAGAAGCAGGCTTCCTGCGGAGCCGGGAGCCCGATGTGGGACTCGATCCCAGGACCCCGGGATCATGACCTGAGCTGAAGGCAGACGCCCAACGACTGAGCCACCCAGGCGCCCAATAATACACGATTTTAAAAAACCTCCCGGCCAGAACTAGGCAAACAGTCCTTGATGAGCAATCCGGGGTAACCTGACTTTCACCATGTGCTCCTGACTCTTCTGGCCAGTTCTGCTGCTCAGG